TCTTAAAGGCGCGGATTATTGCAAACAATTCTTTATTATAGATTTCTTAATTAAGTTTAGAACTAGTAAGGGTCTAACTAAAGAAGGATATAGGGTACTATTTCCTATTAAGATGCTCCTATAAGAGGATAGCTATAATAACTCTATTAGAGGCGTCTATCTCTAGTTTTAGAGGATACTTAGGATAGAAGTAAGCTAGGCTTAGAATTACTAATAGGGCATTCCTAAGCTAGTTAAAGGCTTGTTAGCATTCCAAAGTCTATATAAATAGGGTAGTAGGGCTCTAGAGAGTAGTTAAGGGCTTAGCTATCTTAGAGAAATTTTCCACAAATTGCTAGTAGAATCTAGTAAATTCTAGGAAGGACTTTACTCTAGTTATTGTCTTAGGAGCGGACTAGTTTTAGAGTACCTTAACTTTGTTAGGATCCACCTCTAAGCCTCTATTAGTAAGGTTATATCTAAGGTAATAGGTACAGGTTATATAGAATTTACTTTTCTTAATATTAGCCTGTAATCTAGTAGAATAAAGACGCTTAAGGACTTTTTAAACATGGTCCTTATAAGTAGCAAGGTCTTTAGAGTAGATAAGGATATTATCTAGATAGGTAATATAGAAGTTGTCTAAATAATCTATTAGTATATTATTTATATAGCGCTAATAGGTTATAGGTCTGTTATATAGCCTAAATAGTAGGACTTTGCATTTATAGGCACTATACCTAGTATAGAAAGTAGTGTACTCCTCTAAGTTAGGGTCTATTTAGATCTTATTAAAGGTAGCATAAATATCTAATTTTATAAAGATTTTTACTTTAGCTAGCTAGGATAAAAGATTATCTATATAGGGTATTAGATACGCGTCCTTTCGCGTTAAGCTGTTAAGCTTATAGTAATCTATATAGATCCTAAGGCCTCTATTTAGCTTCTTAATATATAGGATAGGAGAGGCAAATAGGCTCTAACTAGTCTTAATAAAACCTTTCTGTAGGTGCTCTTGTATATATTCCTTAGTGGCCTAGAGTTCCTTAGGATTTTAATAGTAGAGGGGACTCTAGTAGTTTAAAAGGGGTTCCTCTAAGACTATCTTATAGTTATAAGGCTAGTAGATTAGAAGTTTATTAGCCTTAGCTTTATTAAAGATATCCTAATAGGAGTTATAGTTAGATAAGAGCTTCTAATCTAATAGGCTATAGTTAAGAGTGTCCTATTTAGATAGGGTTTAGATCCTACGCTTAATCTTATATAGGCTAGTAGTAAAGAATTTATTTAAAGATTTTTTTATATTAAAATAGAAAGCATTAGCATAAATAGTAGTAATTTAAAAATTTGCAGGTAGGGTAACAGTTATTAATTAGACTAGGGTAGGTAGTGTAATAGGTTTAGTAGTAGCCCTATAAGTAGCTAGAATTTTAAGTATACTACGTATCCTATTAATTAAACTAGGACTGTTTTAGTTTAAATTCTCCATCTTAATCCTAAAGGGCGTCTCTTTACAAGATATTATAGGTAACTAGAGTAGATAGGACTTGCTAGTAGAGTTATACTAGAATTAGAGGTGTGGGGTTATAGGTTAGGGGATATTTCTCTAGCTATATTAATTAGGATTAATCTGTATTAACTAGGATTTAGAAGTGTTTTAGCTTGTGTTATCTAATAATATAATCCTAAGAACCTAAGTCTACTATTATAAAGGGGTAGTTATATACCTTGTAGCTACTAACTATTATATAAAGCTAAATATAGTAGGTAACTAGAGAGGTAATCTAATCTTATAACCCTTTAATAGTAAGCTTGTATAGTAGCTTTTAGATAGGTACCCTAAGTATAGAAGAAATATTATAAGCAATTTTTAAATTAAGAAATAAGTAACCTTAGGCCCTAGTATCTACTAAAGCTTTTAGGCGAACACTAGATCTATTAAGGCACAGGGTTATATATGTAAGCAAATAGGAACTAACAAATAATTTATTTAAGGAAAGGGTTAATAGGTTATATTAAGTTAGGCCTAAGAAGGAGGATCCTCCTAGGCGTTATTATTTCCTGTCTAATAGCTATCTAAATTAGTTAATTTAGTAGTTTCTTCTTCCTTAGAATTCTTAATAACCTGCTTTATATCTATAGCCTAAATCCTAGGGGGTTTAGGGTAGTTACTAGAGAGGTGCCTAGGCTTCCTATAATTATAGCAGGTTCTAGGGGTTCCTATTATAGCAGTGCTAGGAGTAGCTAGAGTAGTAGATAGGGGTTAATTATCTTAAGGGGTAGTGCCTTATTATTACAAGTAGGGCATATAAGGTTTAGCTATTAAAGGTCTATTATATAGTTTCTAATTAGCGTTTAAATAGGAGTAGTTTCTAGAGTATTAGAAGGGGGTTAGTCCTTTTCTAGATAATAGAGTAGTCTAAGTAGGAGTAAACAAGGTAGGGTATAGGTAGTGTTCTATATTAAAATTAGTAAGATAATCTACTATTATCTTAAAATTATTATGCTAATTCTGTTAGAAAGCAAGGTTTAGTATCCTTAGGGAAGGTGTAATCTTTATCTAGAGGTAGTAATACTACTCTAATTAGGGTACTTCTCCTCTAATAGCAAGACTCTAGAACTATAATTTAAATATAGGGAACGTCTCTATAATAGTTATATATAGGCGGTTAAATATAGTCTAACTCTTAGCTATCTTATTTCCTATAATAAAGTAGGTTTAAAGGAGGGTAATTATTTCCTTAGCTTTTTAGAACTAAAGACTTAGGAAGTTAGATAGGTAATATAGCTCTAAGTATTCTCTTGCTAGTCCTAAGTAGTGTCTCTAGACTAACGCTATTTAAGCTCTAGAAGAGGGGTAGTAATTAGTATTAATTTCTAGCTAATCCTAAATAGACGCTTACTATTATCTAAAAGTAGGATTAGCACTATTACTAAGTATAGAGATATTTAGTATCTTTTTAGATTATCTCTTAGCTTTTATAGTATATACTATAGGATTTAATATAAAAGCTAAAGACTAGCTAGGTTAGGTAGTACCTTATATCTCCTTATAGAGTAAGGTATTATATAGCTATTTAGTAAGTTACTTTACTTATTCCTCTAACCTCTTTGTTTTTAAATAGGGTTAATATATATTTATCTTTAAGGGAGGTATTACTTTAAGATTTCCTAGGAGCACAAGGTACCTTAAGAGACAGGTAGGAAGCAGGTCCTTCTAGGAGGGCGTTGTTAATTAAGTCTTCCTTATCTAATTTCTTTCTATTAGTAAATAGGTTTTTAAAAGTAGCTAAACTAGATACCCTTCTTTTACTTTTATCTAATATTTTGTAGTTATTAAGAATAATATATCTTTTCTTTTTCTTTTTAGGGGCTTTAGTTATAGAAGGATATTAGCTTTGCCTCTAATTCCTCTAGGCTTTTAGTAGTCTCTAGGTCTCTACCTTAACGCAATCTAACGCAATTTTTCTAAAGGTAATCTAGCACTACCTATAGGTCTAGAAGTCTAAGCCTATAGGCTTTAGTTATTAGAAGTTCTAATAGCTATTCTAACTATAGAGTTATAGGGTTAGATAACTACTAGAACTAAATTAGTAGCTTAAAATAATAATAAATGCGATATTCTTAAATACTATTACTAGCTAGGATAATATTCTTCTTATAATATAATAACTTAGGTAGGTAGGGTATCTAAAAGGTATCCTATAGAACTTAAAGGTATATAGGAGTGCGCGTTTATATAGAAAAGGATAAGATTCCTACACCTATAGGTCTTGTATAAAAGGATAAGAAGAATATACCTATTCTAATATAGGCCTGCTGCTCTCTATATATATTAGTAAGTTAGGCCTTTGTTAAGGCTAACCTGGCATAGAATAATAGGCAAGCAATTCTTCCTTATTGTTACAATTAAGGTCTATACCTTATAAATAAAGAGTAAAGGTAATAGTAAAGGTAAAGGTAGATTTATTTATAAAAAGTACTAATTTAAATTTTCATCTAAATAGGATTATAAGAGGATAGGGACTATCCTTCTCTATAGAAGGGGGTAGTATAATAATAGAGTAGAATCCTTTGCCTATAGTAATATACTAAGTTAACTCTTATATTAGTCTACCTCTTGTAGATATATATAGAGAGTAGCTCGCCTATGCTATAATAGCTATGTTCTTCTTGTCCTTTTATACAAGACCTATAGGTATAGAAATCTTATCCTTTTCTATATAGACGCGCACTCCTATATGCCTTTAAGTTATATAGGATACCCTTTGCATGCCCTACCTAGCTATATTATTATACATTTTAATAAAGTTTTATTCTTACTAAATATTAATATTCTTTAGTTAATATATATATATATATATATATTATTTCTTTACTACTAGTCTTTACTTACCCTACTAGTATATTTCCTTACTAGATACATTATATCTAATATATTTTAAAAGATTAATATATTTAATACTACTTTAGTTTACTAATAACTTCCTATGTAGCTAAGGTACCTAGCACTATCCCTAATTTAGTAGTATGGGCGAGGACGATTAGTCTATTGTGGCGAGGACAATTAGCACTTCCCTATGAAATATGTGGAGTAGAGTCTTTAGGGGCTTAATAGGTAAATAAGGCAAGAGGACAGGAAGTGATAGGTATAGTTAGGAGTAAGAGAGAAGCCTCCTGTGGTCAAATGCAAAACGTAGTTTAGGTACTAGGGGGTAGGGTAACTAACTATGCATAGGGAGATTATAGCTCTCTAATAAGATAGACTATATGCGAATCCTTACTACTCTATTAACTACTAGTGATTCTAACTAATACTTTATTATAACCTCATACAAAATTCTTGATCTTCGATACTATAGAATTATCCTAATTTAGCATAGCCTTCTAATAATAACCCAAGGTGGCGAGAATAGTCCGGCCTAGACTACTTTTATATTTGACCATAGTTTCGAGCTTCTTCACAAATGCGACAAAGAACGGCTCAAGCCAAAGTGAAGTCATCATATCATGCTACCGCTATGAACTTGGTGGCGTCTCTTGCATTTAGTTTCGTCTCACCACTTCTCCCCATCACGACTGATTCGAGGAAGAAATGGATTGACAAATCCAGGCGGCACCACGAGGAGGCGCAAGAGTCCGACTTCTACCGCCCGTCCATCTCTTGCGAATCGTAGCCCGGTACTGTCCATACCGCGATTCCTTCTTCTCCAGACAAGCTTCTAGCAACCAGGCCCCGCTTTGCAACCCAACCCCACTCAATAGCATGAAGTCCACTGCACCAGCACCCAACTCATCCTGATCGTTGCGTTCTCGATGAGCACACCATAAAAAACAGCCAAGATGAAATGAAAGTTGGCAATGATCCCAACCCTCCAATCCCTGCCACAGACTGTGGACGGTCCGTCACAGCCAGGTGACTCAAAGGTAGACATGAGGTCAATAACTCTGGAATCTTCCACACTGGATCCTCCTAAACAGAAAAGTCCACTTGTGACGAGCTCATCTGAGTTTGGTGTCACGGGCGTGAAGGGGACTAATCGCGGCATCATGGCCAAGAGGACGAAGGACGGGGGACAGGAAGAGCCAACGGAACGATAAGCATTCGAATGCCTGTTGCAATGTTGCCATGGACCATTCGGTCTGTCTGATGGTTCTTTCGAAAAAGAACCTCCATTTCGCAGGCTTCTTCCACACGCGCCGCCCTGAAAAAGGCAGTACTGGTGGCGGGGTGAGCTTCGAACCGCAGCTCCCTTGCAGACAGGTTCGTCATGCGCGATATATCGACGATCAAGGAGGGACGAGCGACATAAGGAGGCGAGTGTATGTGGAAAGTAAAAGGCAAGCAAACCCGATGGGCGCGAGCGATCTGCAAGTGTAAGCCAGATAGACGTACCTGGTATTCTCCTGGGAGACTCGGTACTATCCAATCGACAATACACAAAACGGCTCGATACTTGCTGCAGCAGACAACTGAAAACTCGCACCAGCTGCCTCATCGGCCAAGTCGTTTCGACCAGTTCACTTCGACGCAAACTCGCCAAGGACCATTCGGTCTGTCAGAGCCACGTACCTAAAGGCAGAGGTGAAACTCAATATCTGCTGGCATCTTCTACTTTTCGCCTAAAAAGGTATACTGGGCAGTGGGGACGTGAGCCCTGTCGCTGAAGCGCTGGACCTGTATTCAGGCTTGGACTGGGAACGCAGCTAGGTGACCGCAACGACGGACTTGCTCACTTCACGCCATAGAACCAGGGACCATTCGGTCTGTCAGAGTACGAAACTCCATGTCTGCTGGTCTCTTCCACACGCGACAACCTGAAAAGGCTGACACTGGAGGCGGGGTTGCACGACGCGGCGTGCTCCCTGACATGAAGTAGCGCATCCGTCGTAGGGTCGATCTGAGTCGTCATATGACGACAGTCTGTCTCGCCGCGCGTTCGTGAGCGATGGGAGTGGAGGAAACAGAAGAGTAGAAAGTGCTTGAAAAGCAGATAGCGGCGACAAAGGCGATTAAAGTGGAAGACGCGGAGGATGGGGAGGATTAGATGGGGCTGACTAAACAAAAGGCGCGGTGAAGCGTATTGTGCTGCCAACCGAGTAACAGCAAACAAGAGTCCGGATGGCGTTCTGCTATGGCGTGGGCCAATTGCAATATCGCGGAGCAGTCTTACAAAAAGGCACACGCTATAGGCTAGTAAATAGCACCACGGTTCAAATCACATAAGGGACGGGGAGATACCGAGTTTTCACTCTGTTCAGAGAGTCGGGAAGCCAACCATGGTACTCTACCACGTCCGGTAGGACACAGCCGCTAAATCAAGTCGTGCTTCTCTCTGAGGGGGACGAACAAAACGAGGACAAGTAGACCAGAAGTGCAGGATGCCAGTGATTTCGCGCTGCTCGATCGAGTACGCAAGTTACTGTAGCCATACAACCTTGGGGATCAGTCCAGGAGCCAGCGGTGTTCGTTCCTCGAGGATCGCGACCGGAGTGTAGAGTAAGGTATGGTACGCCTACCCCGTGATCTCACATGGATTGCCTAGGTGAGGCAGCCAGAAGGCGCAGTCCAACAGTGTCGCCATCTCTGGAAACACGACTCTGAACGCGTGTCTGCCTGTCAAGTATCTACTCGCTCTCCTCCAGAAGTTCAGCAAGCTCGGCCTCTTCTTCCGCCGTCATCATACCCTCTTTGGCCTCGGGTTCCTGTTCTTTCGCCTTGCCCAGGCGTTTCTCTTCTGCTTCCTGGATAGCTTGGGCCAAATCCGAGGTCCTCAAGCTCCATTGCCTGATTGTGCCGTCAATGCTGACGCTTACCACCCGCTGTTTGGACATCAGAAGTAGCCCGGTGACTTCTTCATAATGACCTGTGAAGGTATGGTGTAGCTTGCCGCTAGTCTTGTCCCATATGCGAACGTTCTCATCCCTGCAGGCGGTAATTACCCACCCTCCCTCTTCATCAATAGCAACGTCGCGTGCAAAGTCAGGGTGGTCGAATGTAGAATCCTCTTCCCATCCACGGCCTCTAGACAGACATTTTGCAGTTTTATCCGCAGAAGCCGTCCAGAGGTCACCGTCAGAGTCGAAACAAATCGCGTCGATGCTAGTCTCATGTGCAATCAGTGGCGAGGGTTGAAGCTCGGAAACTGACGTCGGTCCAATTGCCCACCGCCGTATTTCTCGGTCGCTTCCAGCGCTGAATAGTGTAATGAGATCCTTGCTGGAGTCGTAGTCGGCCGGATCGACTGCAAGAGCCAATATGCCTCGTGTGTGGCCCTTCAACGTGTGTAGCTTGTTTCCAGTGGCGACATCCCACACTATGATGGTCGTATCCTGTGAGGCAGAGGCCAGATAGTTTCTGTCTTGGAGGGTGAAAGTGGCGACTGCCTTGACAAAGTCACCGTGCCCTTGATATCGTACGGCAGCTTGCAGTGACGAGATGGACCACGACCACACTAACTTGTCCCAACAACCCGCGAAAAGTATTCCCGACGTCGGCGAGACGGCAATCGAGGTGAGAGGTGCAACGGGCCCAGTGAATGTTGCTGTGACTTTACGTGTCTAAAGCAAGTAGGTTAGCGACGACTGCATCAGGCAAGTGTGCCACAGACTTCAAGTCCATGGCCCAGGAAAACATGTCTGACCGACTTCAATGTTGATTCGCTTCACATTGCCTGCCGCTTCTGCAACATAGACTTGGTTCGCATCTTGGGGGTCGGCGCAGATGGCGAGTATCTTGGACTGCAGCTTGATGGGGCTCCCGTGGGTATTGTTGGACTTTGCAGCCTTGCGGGCTGTCTCTTCGAGGGCCGAACTGTCATGGCTTTAGCAAAGAGCGAAGTCTATTGCCAAGAGGGTTGGGGGGCCCATACGTGGTTTGGAAGTAATGTCCCGGGTCGTTTGATCGAGACATGGCGGGCTGAGCTGCGTATTTGTACTCGGGGGGCCAGACTCGTTGTGAGGTTGGAGGTGGAGGTGCTGGCACATGACACCAACCCCGCCAACTAGCGTGTCTCATGAGTAACAGCCAAGTCACAAAGCGAGCGTGCAAGTACCAACCAGTTGACGTCAGCAAGCACAGCGTGGCCACGCTCCCCATGACAACTCATGACAACTCATCCCACCGTCAGCAGGAATAAGTAAACAAGTAAAAAGAGAGTCACAGAGGTGGACACTCGTGACAACACAGTCATGTGCAAGGGTACATGGCAACAAAAACTATCGTCATGTACCCAAAACGCCGTAATGTGTATCATTGATGTAGCAGTTCGTAAACAAGGTCATGCCAAATGGAGCAAGCAAAAAGCAAAAGCAAGCCCCTCGTCGGGTAGGCAAAGCCCATCATTAAGTTCGTAAAATGCGTTCGTAAGAGTGAGGCAGCCTCATCAACAAAGCGCCCTTCATAACACTCTGGGTATCCCCAACCATTACTTTTTGGGCACATAGGCCTCGTTCGTCATGCGCCCGCAGGCTGAGTTGGTTTCGTAATCATGTCATCGTGAGTAGAGTATACAGTTGCATGTACACAGGCTTGCCTTAGTAGCCTGGAGTGCCAATCAAAGCGCCCGCCGCAAAGTGGCGAATCGTCCATCGCCAGCCACCCTTTCGCTCGCCCGTGTCGCGCTCAAAGCCCACCCAACCATCGACCCGTCGTCTCCAGGTGTTCTCTTCTTCCCGCTGTCTGCGAATGAAACCTGGACCAACGTCGAACTCCTCGCCCACTTCCTCTGGATTGGGGGTACCGGTGCCCCCTGCAGCGTGACCCCCGGCGACACTTTCATTGTCTTTGAGGTCGTCCAGGCCCGCAAAAGGGTCTTCATCCTCATCCACTTCTGACGGCGAGCGTGGATCGTTGGTCGGTCGGGGTGCTTTCAGCCAAGTCATCTTGACAGGATCAAACACCATGCGGCCTTCATACTGCACGCCGCGTGGTACAGAGATTTGAGAGATAAGGGCAGGCCGAGGAGGTGAAGGCGCGGGAGCGGGAGGCGGTGGTGGCGCCATCTTGGCAACTCTCGCAGAAAAGCTCTTTTGTGCTGCATGAATGGAAGACAGCGCAATGTGCGAAATGGACTGTGAGCGGTCGTGGGACCGATTCACGGGATAGCCTGGGGGAGCAAAAGTGGGAGTGCTGGCGGTCGTCAAGGCAAGAGTGGTGGTAGAAGTATTGGGGTGTGAGAAAGAAATAAGAGCCTCATCGTTACCTTCCCAACGTTGTGTCGTCGGGTTATAGACCATGCCTTTCTCAGCTATGTAAATGTCAGCCAGAGGAGAAGAAGAACAAAAGACAAAACATGTGCTTACTATGCGTGAAAGGCTGTGTCATCTGCCGGATCAGTTGTGGCTTCTGGCCGGATCCTTTTTTGCGATGCGCAGTCGGACTACTATGTGGGCTGCGAGCAGCAACATGAGCTTGCCAACTAATGGGTCTCGCAGTAGCCCCACCATCCACCCTCGACCTGGTGCCTGCTGCTCGCTGCTCGCTCAGTCGCTGTTCACGTGCATTCCTACTAGCTGCCGTGTCGCGAGCGAATCGTGGGGTGTGGTCAGGTCGGGGTGGGGACATTGGTGTATATGGCTGTGGCGTCGTCATGCGATCTGGCATGGGCAGACGCGAGTTGCTGTTCTGCTGTCGCAGGCTCTTGTTGCTAGCCACATTGCGAGGCACCTTCTCGAATGCCTTCTCCTTGGAGGCAGACGTGGGAAGATCGTCGAAGGCGTCGAGCTCATGACCATCTCCAAAGTTGCGCTTGCGCTGGGGCTGGGTCAACTTCTTGGGCGGAGGATGACGGGCAAGAGCAGAAGGGGCCAGATCACGTCTCATGCCTGCGCGGCTGGGCGTCTCGCCTTGATGGCCAGAGAGACGAGAGTACGAGCGCATCGAGGGGGACTGGGGTCGACGAGGATCAGAGTCGCGGCGAAGATGACCTTGGGAGCTACGGGCTATGACATGATGCGACTGATTCGTCGCATTGCCTCCACCAGGCAGGAAGGGCATGCGTGGAGCTCCTTGGGTGAGGTTGTTGTTGCGAAGGGCAGGGGCTGATCGCTTCGATCGCAGTAATTGTGCGCTAGTGGTTGTGGGCATGGGTCTACTGGCAGCCTGTGTCGGGGCACCACTTTCATAGACGGGTGTGAGCCTGGTACGTGTGGTTACAGACTGAGGCCTGGGTATTCTTGAGGTCGTTGGCCTATCGGTGAAGGTAAGTGTGCTGGCCGGGCGGGCAGCAGAAGGGGCATTGAGCTTCGTGCTGGGCTTCTTGACGACGACGTTGCGGTTGAGGGTGAGCTTTCGATCGTCGAACACCTCGCCCTCACCCAAATCGAGACCGTCCATGAAATCATCCTCCTCCGCGGCCGGCTTGGGCTTGGGTTTGGATTTGGGTGATGCTGCCGAAGGACGGTCAAAGGTCTGTGGTGGTACCGTCTCGACCGGCGAGGTGGGCCAAGCGTCGACTGGGATTGAAGTCGGGGCAGAGGTCGGAGGAGGGGCGTACTGAGTCTGGAGCTGCAGCTGAAGTGGCTGGAGGAGAGGCGAGTCCTCCAGTGTGGGTAGTTGCTGCTGCTGCTGCAACAGCTGTGACTTCTTCAGCTTCTCGAGACGCGCATTGAAGTCGAGGGGCTCAAAGGGGATCACAATGCCGTTAAGATCGTCCTCCTCGCTCTCCAGGGTCATGCAGCTGCCCAGGCTGGGGCTCATGGCGGACACGGACGAGCTGCGTGCACCGCGAGCCTCGCGACGCGTGCCAGCAAAGCGAATGCCCAGACTGCCCTCGCCCCAGTCAAAGTCTTCATCATTGTCGTCGGCGGGCGGACGCTCGACGGGCGTCTTGAGCTTCAGGCCGCCCGCTACATTGCTGGGCAGCTCGAGGTCGTTGCCCCAGTCCTCGTCGACATCGATCTTCTTGCTCGACTTCTTCTTGCCCAGGCGCTTGATGGAGCCGCCGAGGAGGGCGGATGAGGGCACGCTCGTGGGGATGGGGATGCCCGCCTGCTTTGCGGCCGAGGTGATGGCCTGGGTGGTTGAGGACTCGTCGTTTGGGGTGATGAGGATCTGCCAGTCGTCGTTGGACTCGGCCTCGGAGCGCGCGCTCAAGCTCATGCGCGACGATTGCGACTGTGCCGTGTTCTTGAAGAGGAAGTCGTCGGACTGGTCGTCGAAGTCGCCGTCGTCCCAAGACTCCATACGCGTGTTGTTGGACGTCATGGAGCCCATGGAGGCGATGCGCGCCGCAAAGCTGCGGTTGTGGGCAGCCATGCTCGCGCCAGGGGGGGTGGTGTTGTGGCCTGGCTGCACAATGTGCAGTGTGCAAGTATGTTGTGTGCCGTGTACGGATGGTAGATCACGCGGTGGTGTCTAGGTATGTCCAGGGCCTACGTGTGCGTGTGCATGTATGTGCATGTGTGTGTGTGTGTCTGTGTCTGTGTCTGTCTGTGTGTGTGTGTCTGTGTGTAGTGTGAGGTGTGTGGTGTGTGCTTGCAGGGAGATTTCGCGAGTGTCGAGGTGGTTGGGCGCGTCTAACTACTATGGTACTGTTGTAACCTGTCTGCCTACACCTACCTACCTCTACCTATCTATGTACCGTCCCTACCCTACACACTTCAAATACCGACCTACCCTATCCTAGACTATACTTGTCCATGTGGGTCGTGTCCGGCGCACCAGCGGTGAGATGCCCCGACGCGTAAACAAGCTTGCTGTTTTGGAGCTGGCCGAAGAAGCGACCCCAGCTCAGGGCCCGAAATCAATTCTCTTCGACATAGGGCCGAGGCCAGGCTATCTATGACTACCTATCCAGGTTGAACAATGACTTTTTAGAAACTGTGTCAAGGAGTTCACGGGGGGCCTCCTTTGCGACCGCGTGTCTGTGTTTGTGTGTGTGTGTGTGTGTGTGTGTCACCCAGGTTACTCTTGGAGGCCTACATGTTGCAAACCTCCAGCTTGGCTTGCATGTACATGGTGTCAAGCGATTGCGGGTGCCCGACAATGCAAGCGATCCTGCGAGTTACCTCCCTACATGGAGTATGAAGCATCCTCCACATACCGTACCGGTACCTCTAGGCCCAACCCACCTTCATCAAACGAGTGCTGCCTGCCCTGCCTTGCTCACATGCTGCACGCCACTATTGCCCTTCTGTCTTCCGACCCTAGGTATAAAGCTAACTCGTCTTCACGTTGCAGTCGGCCAGATTGCATTAGAAATTCTTATTTGCCCTTTCGATACACCTGCCACGCCAACCAGCAACCCAAAGACTCAAGTTCAAGGTTGTAAAGGAGCCCTGGAGTAAGTGACACAGGCGGATCCTGGTCCCTGCCAAGGCTGCATCGCATCACCCCCAGCCTGAAACACAGCCCTAACCGTGGGACCGACATCAGATCGTTCCCCACCCGCCCGCACAGGAGAACGCATGGCTGTTCGTTGCATTGTCCAGGTCGAGCCTGCGAGTGGCCAGGGCCAGACGGTCGTCGTCGAGGTCCGGCAAGAAGGCAAACACCCTCTTGACGTTCGGCTGGTGGGCTGCGAGGGAGAAAGTCCCTATGTGACGACGAGTATGGGCCCACTTTTCTGCTGTGAAGAACACGTATGTTGATGAGGGTTCAGTTCAGCAGCGCAATCTCGGCAAGTTGAAACAAAAGTTCAAGGGTAGCGATGATGAGTGGCTCACGCTGTTGTCGTACTTTCTACTCCAAACACCACCCAGGGAAGAGCAAATACAGATATTGGCCGGCGTCCGACTGGTCTATGTTCTGAACAGCGGCAGCCTAGAACTCTCTATTCGGCAGGACATTGGAGACATCAAGGTCGGTATTGGGTGGATGTGTGCTTGAGCAAAAGCTAACAACCAAGAGGTCACGCTCGGAGAGATTACACTCCCCCTCGACGAAGAATATGAAATCAACCCGTTTGAATGGGCGCAGACGTCGGCTGTTGCACATGCGGAAACGCTGAGACAGGTTGCAGACTTGACGACGCGAGTCAACAGTGAAAAGAGCACCATGGCCAAACTGGATGCACAGCTGCAAGACTTTATCAGAAACAAAACTGAGGCCGAGACGGCCATGCTGCAGCAGTTTATGCGATTGCTCAACGAGAAGAAGAGGAAGATTCGAGATCAAGGGCGCCTCCTAGCCGAGGCCCAAGTCGACCTTGAGACAGCGTCTACGGTCAAGGCATCAAGAGCAGCTACCAAGTCACGCAAGCCAGTCGCATCCAGAAGCTCCAAGCGCAAAGCTCCCTTGCAAGCCACAGAGGTTGATCAAATGCGCGAGTCTGACAGTGACCAGATGGAAATTGACAAAGCCAAAACAGGGGAGCAAGAAGGGGAGGAAGCGCCTGCAGTCAGGACTCCAGAACGCAATAGCTCTGTGACGGATACTGAAGAAGAAGAAGAAGAAGAAGAAGAAGGAAAAGGAAACTCAGCACGAATGGGGACAGGAGATAAGTCGCCTACAGGTGTACGGGCAAGTTCAGTAGTGTCAAACAGGAAGGATGAGGGAAAGGTAGCAGAGAGCAAAGGTGTACCACCGCCGCGGTCTTTGCCATTTGGACGGGCTGGGACGGGAAGTGGTGCTGTCACGAGGAAGCCAGCAGCACCTGCGGAGAGTGAGGATGATGAGTCGACAGATGACGAGGAACTGTGAGGAACGATGATATCGAACGGATACCGACTGTGAGGAATGAGGCGACTCGAAAGACATGGAATGTCCAAAGAGAATTGCATGTTCGCTACCGGTAGTTCTTTGGTTTCGGTCTCCTCGGCCAGAGTGGCAGAATTAGGGGCAGAGTGAGCTGACGGGCGAATGTGTATCAGTACGAGGGGGACGGGGTATTTTTGGAATGATGGCTGGATACTTGGAATGCATCAGAGCAGCAGATTGGACACAAGTAGGCAACAGTAGAGTAGTAGTACCTGTACTCTACTACTGTTGCTTGGATGGCGACAGCTGAGGCTGAGGCGAGGGTGGTTGTTGGTTGGCTGGGGTGAATCTCCGGTTGGCTCGAGTGGGACTCTAAGAGTAGCATGGCCAACAACCTGGGCCAACTCGGGTGGAGAAGACCAGTAGCGGCGGCTCCACGTGCCGATCCATTGAGCCAGAAGAGGCAAGACGCGGGACCCTTTTGAAGTGTGGACATCGTTGTACTACTCTACTCTAGAATAGCTACCCAGTCCACGCTAAGCCAATCTGGGTGGGAGTGAGTGTGAGATGTTTGATCCCAACCGACGTGACCTCATGGGCCACTAACACAACCACCTGCACTCATTTGCCCTCATTCACCCTCGTTGGCAGCCATTCTACTGCCCCGCCCCTCCGCTCGGCACACCCCACCGCACACTCAGACACTCACACGCGCGCCCACCTTCACCGCGCCTAATCGCTAGCACGCGCGCCGCCGCCGCGTTGTCGCAGCGCCCCACCTTGGACGGCTGCACCCGCAAGCTTAATGACCGTCCACCGTCTCTACGCGTTCTTCTGCACCTATCGCCGCCCACCTGCCTCTGCCAACTGCCACGGCCACTGCCACTGCCATTGAGAACCTCCCCGGCCATCCAATATCCTTCCCCTCCTCGCCCTCGCCCTCGCCCTCACCCCCGCAGGCCATGTCAGGCCCAGAGCGAGCGGACGCCGTCGTCGAGACCACGCGCGGAATCAAGCGCAAGCACCTACCCACCGATGACCAAGACGACCTGGAGGCCCTCGACAGCGTCTTCAAGCGCATCAAGACGGCTGTCCCGCGCACCCCCTATGTCCTCTCCACTCCCTCCCTACACCCTTACACCTACCACTCGCGACAGGAGGCATATGCGTGGATGCTGGGCCACCTGTGGCGCCATGACGAAGAGCACATGCAGTATCGCACCTACCTGTACCGCGAGCCATGCCAGGACTGCTTCGAGCTGCAGGCCGGCGAGGACGACGAGCCGGAGCAAGGCCGCTCCAAGCCTCTTCCCAACAAAGCCGACAACCAGCCAGTGAAGAGGAAGCCAAATCTCTCGGCCTTCAAGGTCAAACAGGCAAATGGCACCGCAGCCCCGCCGACTGTGAAGCCCTCCTCACCACCGCCCGCGCCCACCAAACATGCGCCAGAGCAGTCGAATGGTGTCACCAAAGCAGAGAAGCAGTCTGCGCCCCCACAGAAGCCGGGCGCAAAGTCGCCGATACGGTACGGAGATGGCATAGGAATCATTGCTATAGCCAGTGCACAGCTGACAGCTCATAGAGCCTCCAATGGCGTCCGCGACGAGCGACGAGCCGAAAAGATCAAGACAGACGCCACACAATCCGAATCGCGGGTGCACGCGACCACATCGCGGCCCAAGAGCGACTCGGTTGGGTCCAAGACGGCCAGCGTCACCCCACATGGCCTACCGCCCATGCTCTCGCCGGTCGAAGAGCCTCTGAGAAATCCTCATGGCCTTCCCGACATTCTCTCACCCACTCTTCCGTCTAATATCCAGGCGGAGCTAGACAGGCTAGATGTGCAGCGCAAGCGGGCCGAGTCTGACGTATCCACATCCTCGTCGGATCGCAAGACCCAGAGTCTCGCAGTTCCGCCTGCAAACCCTCCAAAACCTGAGGCGCCAGTCAAGACTGAGAATCGCATACGATCCGTGTCAATCAAGGGCACGTCGCCAAACCCAGCACCGGTGCGTACCGGTGAAAGCGGCCGTAGTCTTGTTGTCACGCTAAAGTTCTCCAAGGCGAAAATATCAACGGTCAAGAACCTGTTGCGTCTACCGCCCAAGAAGAAGCCCGAGCAGAAAGAGAGCCACGATGCTCCAGCAGAGAGGGAAAAAGAAAGGGCAAAGGAGACTCTCATAGACAGGGGGAAAGAGCGGGCAAAAGAGGTTCCAGCGGACAGGCAAAAGGACAGGGCAGACCGGGAAAAGGAGAGGGCAAAGGAGGCTCTTGTGGACAGGGAAAAGGACAGAGCGAAAGAAGCTCCTGTCAGGCCTCCTGACGGCCCAGTTATCAAGAAGAAGGCAGTATCCAAAGTTGCCGCACGACGAGGAGACACTGCAACATCCGCAGCGGCGCCTCTCTCAAGTGCGACAACTAGCGCGCGGCCCACCACTACCTCTACCAGACTTCCTGAAAAGCGGCCCAGGGCAGAAGAAGAGGCTACGTTGTCTGTACCCTCGAAGCGACCCCGGGCACTTTCACAGCAAGATCGTCCCATCACCCCTACCCCCGCCACCTCATCTCCAGCCCCCGCAGCCAAAACCAGCAGTACTCAACAAAGTCAAACCCAGTATCTCACCCCAAAGAAAGAACCCAAAGGACTCGGCATGTTGCGTACGGCCTCATCAGAAAGCTACGATGCAACGCCCGGGCGATCAGGCGCAACTCCTGCCGGGGCAAAGGCCGATCCAAAGGCTGGTCCCACTTCTGCTCCCGTGGCAAGCAAAAAGCAGGCCGATATCTCTCTCCTTTCACAGACGTCTATGAAGCTCAATCAAATGGGCCGCGCACTCAAGCATGAAGCCACCAAGATCCTCACAGCGGGCGGCAAAATTGACAAGCAGGATGAGAAGCGCGCGGCCATTACGAACCTCGAGTGCATTCTGTAAGTCATCCTATTGTTAACAACCGCGCTCGACATTAGCACTCGACTAACAACACCAGCTCCTACATGGCCGCCTACTACGCCCAAGACCTCTCCCTCCACCTCCGCAACCGGCCCGGCGAAGTCGAACAAACGTGGAAAACGCTACTCCCCCTCTGCCTGTCCTACGCCCGCTGCACAAAAGACTTTCCCCACCTCGACGGCCTGCGCTCCTACCTCAGCTCCACCATTGCCTCGGCCATTTGCACCCACGTCGCCCAGCGGGCCAACCCCTCGCGCACAGCCACCTCGCACGACTCCCCGCAAGACCTCGCCCCCTCGGACCTCGCAAAACACCACCCCACCCTCGCAGACAACTTCGGCCTCCTCTCCGACCACCTCATCAAAATGGCCCGCCACTTCCAAGACGCGCGCGCCGCCCTGCCCATGGACGACCTCCAGTCGCTGTACAAGAAGACGTGGGCCCAGCGAGAGACGAACCCCCGCCTCCTGCGCGAGGAGCCCGCGTCGGCGGCGCTCAGAATCTCGAATCCAAGCAACAACAATAACAGCAGCAATGGCGTGCTACGCATGAGCGGTCCTTACTTTTTGCCCCTTGCTGCTGATACCTCGCCCATCCAGGCCGTTCGCTTTGGCCTCCGCTTCTTGGCGGAGTATTGTGAGAGGGAGGGGATTGAATATCGGTTTCGGGTTTGTTTGGAGCGGTCGGAATAGCCGGGGGGGATATATGTCGTTGTGGTGATGTCGTTGTGGTACTCAGGCACGGACTTGGAGCTCATCGCTCATCTCCCCTTATGAGGTATGAGCCGTGGAGGGGGGGGGGGGGGGGGGATGGCATTTGGATTACAAACGAGCCACCTCGTTATGATTTGTTCAAACAAGAAAAACCCCAGCTTTTGCGGGTGGGCGTGGCATTTGGATGATTTTCTTCAGGCATGATGGGTGGAGATGATGCATGCAGTATACAACATGTACTACTTGATCTAGTGTCTGGGTAGTAGCTGGTGGCCAGTAGCCAGTGGGCTACTTGCTTCTACTAGGACTGATCTAATGGCTCTAATGTCTTTGTCTGAATCCTGCTTATACTTGATGATTGATACTTGATACTTGCTCTTTCAATAGTTGCTCATTCTTCTTTGGCGTCGGATTTTGTCGGGCTAGTGTGTATGCGTGCTTGCATTTACGTGGGACTTTTGCAGATTGGGTATTAGCATCAGCGCCAGCATCAATTACTTATATCCCGCACAAGATACCAATCACATCAAAACAAGACTAAACACTGGCTATGCAATCCCATCCATGCGCCTATCCACCCCTCCACCCTCACTTCTTAAAAACCCTCTCCAACCTCTCCAACAACAAATCCGCATGCCTCTTCTGAAACACCAACATGGGCCTCAACCGCACCGCCATCTCCCCACTACCGCCAATATTCACGCCCTCGGCCTTGGCCTTGCGCAACACCTCGTCGCGACGCGGACTGTCAAACGCGATAAACGTGCCCTGTCCTTTGCCCCTGAGATTCTGAATCTCGCGGGGGAAGCGGGCGGCGAGGCTTTCGAGGCCGGCGAAGAGGTAGGCGCCTGTTTGGGCGGTGCGGGCGACAAGGTCCAGGCGGTTGATTTCGGTGATGATGCTGCGGAAGAGGATGGCGCGGGCGGGATCGCCCATCCACGTGTTGAATTGGCGGTATGGTCTGTTAGGTCTGAGTTCGGGGTTGCCAAAGTAGTAACCTGCCGTCTGTGCCTTTTTGCTAAAGGTGACCATGTCCGGGGGTGAGGGGAGGTCCCAGTGTTCGTGGGCCCAGAATTTGCCCGTGGCGCCGACGCCGGTTTGGACTTCGTCGACAATCATGAGGATGTTGTGTTTTTTGGTGAGGTTGCGGAGGGCACGGAAGAAGGAGGGGGAGGCGTGGTTGTCGCCGCCTTCGGATTGGATGGGCTCGATGACGATGGCGGCGGGGGGTGCGTGAAAGGTTGTGATGATTTCTTCGGTTGCGGCGAGACACCGTGCTTCTTCTGCTGCATTTTCGGCCGCGTGCTCCTCGAGGGGGTATTTGAGCATGGGAAAGGGGGCTTGGGGCCAGTCAAAGGCGGGGATGTCGATTTTGTGGATGGGTTTGCTGCGCGTGGTGCTGAGGGAGCCAAAGAGGCGGCCGTGGAAACCGGATTTGAAGGATAGGACGGAGAGAGCTGGGGCGCCGGGGCTCTTGTTCTCCATGGATGAGATCATGTCTTCGTTGGAGAAGTCGACCGAGGCGCCACCACGTTCTTGCTGTCGCCGCCACATGAAGGCGGCCTTGTACGCCAGTTCATTGGCGTCGGAGCCCGATTGGCCGGTGAAGACTTGGTTAAGGCCCTTTGGTGCGACCGTGAGGATACCCGTTTCGAGTATGTGCGCCCAGTCGTGTTGGGGAAAATTACCCAGGGCAGGCCGGTTGACAATGGCAGAGGCCATTTCGGGGGATGTGGCGGCGAGGAGCAGAGACGGGTTGTTGTAGCCCACGGGGATAGACGCTATTTGGGCGTACACGTCCAGGAGGACATTGCCATCGAGGTCGGCGATGCTGCAGCTCATCAGCATGGGTGTGCTAGGAGTGTTACCATTCCAGAAGCATACTAATTTCCATAGGATTGTGAGTAGTCGGCCATCATGTTCAGACTTCGCGTGTCAAAGACTTGGCTTAGTCTCTCAATCTCTTTTTTGCTCCGTGGACCGGGAATGGGGGTTTTGACTATGGGCTCTCTGGGTTCATCGGGGAAGAAGGGCTGCTCGTTGCTGTGTACAGCTGGTGCAGCTGCGGCAGAGGCATACCGTCGTTTCCGTAGCGCGATTGGTGCTGTTCTGGGGGTTAGGCGAGGAAGTGCGGTACGGGTGCGGCCCGCTGTCCGCAGCAGATATGCCATGGCGATGTGGATGTTGTGTGAGCGATGGTTTGGGGGAGAGGCGTGGTGTGGGGCTGGAGAGCTTCAATGAGGTGGCATGCGGGGGGAGTGGCCAGAGCTTCGGTGCGCAGGAGTCGCGGATATTTGGGCGAAGCAAGAAGGGCTGGTTTAGAAGGGCGAGAACGTGGTCGAGGTGAATAGAATGTGTAGAAGACGACTGGCTAGGGAGACCAGAGTCCCGTCTTTAAGCAAATCCCCAAAACCTGCCATCCAACACCGCCAGTCGCGCGTAGGGCGTCGAGCGATGCCATGTCCCAAAGAAGCCATTCGTTGCCGACGAGCTCTGCACTGGCTTACCGTTGGACCCTGAGGCTAAGCCGTGTATGGCTAGCAGCTCAGTGGCAGCGTCATCTTGATTGACTCCACACACACGCCCCAGACGCCCGCGCAACACTTGGGTACACAGTCGTAGGCTCTCGATGGGAGAAGGAAAGCTCGGTCAGACAGGTGGCCATGATCCGTGTTTGGCGGAGAAGAGCAAGCAAGAGAGAGGATGGGCAATTCGTCTTTTCTCTCGCCATGCAGAGTCACAGCATCCCGTATAAAATCCTGACAGTAGTCGTTTGCCAGCTGGCGATGACAAAAACTAACTCGCAAATACCTGCCTGGAGCGACCACAGCCTTGGCTCCCCGCACTGTTCGGCATCGTCAACAGACTCGAGCTTCCTGGCCGGAGATCTGATGCGCGATCGGCACAAGGAACTAATTACTACTACTACTACTACTACTACTACTACTACTACTACTACTACTACTACTACTACTACTACTACTACTACTACTACTACTACTACTACTACTACTACTACTACTACATGCCCATGACTTGGACGCAAGGTAGTGTCGGGTGCAAGTTATTCCGCATCCGAATACAATGTCTCGAATGGTCTTAGCGGCACCGTGGTGGATGACGTCGCCCTCTAACTTACCCCCACCAAACGCGTCTTTCTCCTCCCGACGCGTCGCGACCATCGACATTCGAAGCCCCCGCACCATGCCGTGACAAGAAGATGCGCTTCAAGGCTTCCATACAAAACGTCACAACCTTTACAAGTGTGTAACAATAGCATGCACCTGTCCATGGATACTAAGAAATAACCCTGCAGAGCTCACTGCATCGCTGAACTCTCTCGGTCCGCTGGCGTGGGTGAAGCTCGGCGAAGAACAAGTATGCTTCACCATCATACCCGAGCAAGGCACCCAAGTGTGGGCGTAAGTTCTCTCCTCACCCATTAGCCCGTACTTCTTCTGACCTGATCCAGCGTCCTTTCCATTGTAAGCCACACGCACCGTCTGTTTTCCCTGGCACAGTGCTAACACGCCCCCACGCAGGACTCCATCTTTGAAACCATCAGCGTCCAATCTGCAGCCAACAACATTATCAATCTCGAAGTGCCTCTCACATCCCTCAATCGTGCTTTGAAGTCTGCCCTCAACGCAACTTCGGCGCAGATGCGTCTCACGAAAAAGGACAACATGCCTGTACTAGCACTCACCATGGTAACCACCACATCCTCCAACACCTACAATGGCATTCCTACCGCAGCTACCGGCTTCGACAGCCACTTTGGCGCATCCTTTGATAACGATTTTGGAGCTTCCAATCGCGAGACCATTGTCACACAAGAAATCCCGGTCCGCGTCCTCGCACCCGATACTGTCGCCGGCCTGCACGAACCCCGATGTCGAGAGCCAGATGTACATATCATACTCCCCCCGCTCATCCAACTAAAAGCCATCAGCGACCGTTTTACCAAGCTCGCCCTCGCCGAGTCAAAGGGTAGCCTTGCCACTTCTGCCAATACGCGGCTCGAGATTGCAGCGAACATGCATGGATGTCTCAAAATGAGCGTGCGCTCCGACGCCATGAACATCTCATCCATCTGGACGGATTTGACGAATCCAGAACTCGATCCAGGCCAGGTTGCTGGCGGCGAAAATGGAATTGCGGATCATCCGAGTTCACGGATGAAGTTGCTGGGGAGTGCGGATGGGAGGAGCGAGGAAGGCTGGGCGGCCGTGCGAATCGACGGCCGGGATTGGGGCAAGGTTATGAGTGTGGGAAGACTTGGGGGTCGGGTCATTGCGTGTAAGTGGTCATCATGTTCAATGTATTTGCGGGTGTGTTGCTAATGAGCGACAAGGCTTTTGCCATGAGCATGCGCTGATTTTGTATGTTTATCTGACAAACGATACGGGTGATGACGAGTCGGTATTGACGGTAAGCTTTTATCCGAGGTGCTGATAGGATGAGCTTGATGACTAACGAGAACGTAGTATTACATCAGTTCATATAGTGCCTAGTCGGCAAACACGAAATCTACGGATTTATGAAAGTACCATGTAAAGTATGTGCGTGGAAGATGGCTGGTAAATTACTTGCAGGGTGTATACACATATAATGGAACACAGATCCATGAAGAGGCGTCAGATACAATCTATGCCAGCAGCATTGGAGCAGATGTCCTCGTTCATCTTGCATCCTCGAGTCGGTCACTGAATTGCTCTCCTATTTTCAAAGTATGCAATGTCACAGCATCCGGCACCACAGTCAGCTCGGGATTAGCCAAGATCCTTACTACATCCAGATGTACAGATGCGTAATTTGATTACCAAATTATGATTCCTGGCTAATTTTGACACCACTTGCAGACTGCCAAAATTAGAGAGAATGGCTACGGATCGCGTGTCTCCTCAGTTTTGCCTGCCAAGAGCAACTTCCTTGTTGTGGCTGCTTCGCATTCATCAGTTTCATCTCCTCCACGCCTCTGCCATGCGACGATCACCATTTTTAGAGCTCCCGAAACCTTCCACTGACTCCATTGATCAATCAAATACGCTTTTTATCCTCGTCATAATGTTGCGGTCGACAACAGTATGTTCGCAACGCTGGCCTTGATGCCGTCTGAACAACCGCCGGAATAGGATCGCAACGTATAAGGATAGATATTCTGCAACGCCCAGCCGCATATAGCACGGTCTCCCACGAGATGGACCGACTATAGGGCGTCACAGGGCTTTGCAGGGCTGATCCGTAGACCCCGAACAAAAACAAGTGGTGGCTTCCAGCTGCGTTTACAAGGCGCGCACGGTGCGGCATGAGATGTTGAACCTCAACCTCAATCTAAATCGAAGACATCTTAATTAAACTTGCATAAGCCATGGCTTTAGTAGATGCAGTTCAGCCGAATGCTTTGGACTTTACCGCCGTCAATCTAAGAAACTTGCGATCAACTACCTTCATCTACCACCTACGAATTCGCGATCTCTCCATTGAAATTTTCCATTGAAAAAGATGGTGAAATTCCTAGGATCTCTAATTTATCGAGAAAAGAGACGAGAAAATCACCATAGCGACGTCGGCGAGCAGCATTAGGCCATCTGTTGTGTTACCTGGGCTTCCACCCCTCGTTCTAAGTGTTGCACGAGACGCGCTCCCCTGAACATCTGCCGCGGGGAATCAACATGACGTTCAAAACAAGACTGAATCCTCTGTTTTTGCCTTGCAAGAACTATCTTGTGCTCACGGATGCCTTCAATCAACGACAGTGGATATGCCCCCTCGATTGCACGAGATACATGTCGGTGCTCGCGAGGCAACCTCTCGACGGTCCTGGATAGCCCCAGACAAGGTGTCACCCGAAATTGCCATTGTCGCTACGCTGGTCTCAATCGCGCTGTTCAGTTGCTTGCTACGAGTGTGCACTCGTGGAAGACTCCTTCGCACATTCGCCTTTGATGATGGCCTAGCTCTGGTCGCCGGTGTGAGTTTATCAGATCCTATTCAAGAAAAATGTGGGCTGAGTTTATGTTTAGCTATGTAGCATAGGATTACTTGTCACCTTTATTGGTCAGCTACGCAGTGGGCTTGAAGAAGGTTGGCAAGCAACGAGGTCGAGCAATGACGGGGCTACTGGGCCTTGGGCGTTGGCATTATCACTGTTCCACATTATTGGGATAAGCCTGGCAAAGCTCTCCGGGGCATTCTATCTGCTTCGCATCTTCGATAGAAGGTACTGCCGCTTCCTCCTCTATGGACTGATCGGTACGTGTATGCACATAGTGGAGCAATTGCAAGAAGCTCACATGTCTAGCTCTCATCCTCCCTTCCGCTCTCACGTGGTTTGGCTCGACACTTCTGCGATGCATACCGCTGGCAGCAGCTTGGCGTCACCCATCACCTCCTGGATCTCATTGCATGTCGTGGGAAGCATTTATCACTTTTGCCGTGATCAACAATGGTAAGCATTTTGATCATCGCTTGGTCATCCAGCCGCTAATGGCAAGAGCAGTGATAAACACAAGCACAGATCTCATACTCGTACTAATTCTGCTACCCATAGCATGTAGCCCATCCATCAACCTCAAAACAAAAGCCACGATCATCACCATCATCTGCATAGCCTTCATAGCCTGTGCCGCCGCAATCCTCCAAACAAAAACCCTCTTCTCAAACTGGCAAACCGGCTCCCTCACCGAGAAAAACTCCCTAAAATCCCATCTCCATCGCACCATCGAGCTGACAACCGCCCTGCTCGTACTCAACATCCCCAGCCTCGCCTCCCTCGCCTCAACCCTTCGTAAATCCCTCTCCCCAAATCCCCGCCCCCTAATCTCCTCCCCAAGACTACATCCCCGCCCACCAAACCACTCCTCCTCCTCCCTCTCTTCACTCACAACAACTCACTCCCACTCCTCCTCCCAAACCGTAATCCACCGCCCAAACACCGCCTGCCTCCCCACCCTCACTCGTTTCCACGACACAGAATCAAATCTCACATTCGACATTGCAACGCTGGCCTCGCGCACACGCACCTCGCACACGCGTACCACGCTGGGCCGCCATAGTCGGCATGCGAGTGGTTGGAGCCAGTTTAGTGGGTTTACTTATTATGGGAATGAAGAGGAGGAGGGCGAGGGGGTTACGGAGTTGGAGGCGGTGGTGGCGCGGTTGGGGTTGGATAAAGGGGGGGTTGGTGAGGGGAGTGGGGGAGGTGGTGGATGAGAGGGGGATAAGGTAGGGTGGTGATGAAGTTTGAGTAATGGGAGATGGAGAGCTGAGCATGCTGGAGGATGGAAGGGGACGAGTGAGATTTTGGATTTGGTACGAAGGGGAAGATGTGGTGTTATTGATTTCACACTTTTGGTTTGAGACTGGGATGTTTGTGTTTTGGTACTCTGTGTGAAGTAGACGCACAAACTGCTCATGACATTTCGCTTCCATATCGTATCGTATACTATATACATCTCTCCAGCACCCACTCAAAACCACCCCATCCCCATCCCCCAAATATCACACTAATTCTCCCTCCTTCTCCCTCCCACAAACCTCACTAATCCACCCACCTCTTCTTGATATAATTCGCCTGAAACCCACCCGGCAGCTCCTTGACCCAATCATCAATCTCCTCCTTGACCACCCGCGGCACCGTACACTTATTCATCGCCGCCGCATCCTGCGTCTTCAGCGTCGGACAATTCTGGTAGCAAGGACTGTCGAGCGCGCGCTGCAGGGCATCGCCTTTCCAGCCAAAGAGGTAGTCGCCATGGTTCGCATAGCCGGTTCTATAATCATACCAGATATGTTAGCAAGCAAAGCGACATCACACCAGCACTTCCTGTCCCCCTTTTACAACCAAGCCCAGAAGAAAAAATAATACAAACTCACCCATCCCCAAAACTCCACACAAACGGCTGGCTTCCGTCCTCGGGCCAGTCGGCTTTGTTGTTGAAGCGCGTGGTGTCCCAGATGACCTCGTAGAAGAGCTGGCCCATGCGCACGGGGTGTGAGGCTGGGCAGGGACCGCCGGACTCGAAGGAGCCGAATTCGGGGTAGGACATGTGAGCCATGTGGTCTGGGGAGTCGAGATTTTTACCGTCCCAGCAGCTGGGGTGGTATGTTAGATGTCTCGGTTTGTAATGGTATAGGGGGGAAGGGAAAGGGAAAAGGGAACGTACGTAGGGAAGCGGACAGCGGTCATGATTCCCGCTTTACAGGGTCCTGTGGGGAAATCTAGGGTCTGGGGGTCACGGGTGTTGATGTCGTTGAGACAGGTGAAAGTGAGCTGGCGGTAGCGTTCTGCTTCTTCTTTTGTGCGGGCGTTGACGTCGCCGATGAACATGCGGAACCCCTATAAGGTGACAGCGTCAGTATCATCAGCATTATCACGGGTATCCTAGCTAGATGCAGGAGTGACTCGCCGCCAACAAGATTCATCATCAGATGCAAAGAAAGGAGCAGAGGTGCCAAACAGGAAGGGTAGCCTTACCGGTTGAAACGCTTGCACCTTTGACGTCTGCTGAAAGTTATACAGCCCATCTTGCATATAATACACCGTCATCCCGCCATTAACCCCATTGAACCCGGAATTAGGAATCTGAGGCACGCGCTTGTAAGTCCCGTTGCGGGCCTTGAAGTACCTATCAAGAGTCTGTCAGTCATTCCAAGCAAGACTCAGCTCAGTCTCACACGACTTGAACTCACAGCACAGCAGTCCAATAGTTCTACCATCCACGCATCAGCTTTTGCTCGTTTGAAAAAAAAGTACAACCATGTGTTTGCATGCTGCTTACAGAAAAGTCCTCGCTGAACTGACAAGACGTGCACGTCGACTCCGCCGGCATATCCTTCTCCGGCGCCATGGTGACATTGAAGGAATTCTACCCTGTGTCAGTTCGGCTCATGGTATAAAAATCCTTGGTGGGGATATCTCACGCCTCCCAATATCTGGTGCAAATGCGGTGAAGGTGCCTGGCCGGGCGTGACCAGCGGATCAAGACGATCGATGACGAGCTGCGCGCATGGGAAACGCAAGAGCGCGTTTGCGGGTGCGAGCAGCGCGAGGGCCGTGGTGGAGCGAAGCATCTTCATTGTCGTTTCTTTTTATTACAATACGGTTGCTGGTATGGTGAGTTTGGAGGAGAGGGAGAGGCGAGTGGCCGAAGTAAAAGAAAAGCAGGAGGTTTCACACAGTGCCCTGGATCTTATACGCCCTTATTACTTTCTGCTATGGACAGGAGTGGATCAGGGATCTTGGTGCCAAGAAGTAGTTATCATCTTCTCGAGACTGCAGAAGGGTTTTGCGTGGTTGACCTTGTTTACGGATGCCTGCGTGCTGAGCACGGGTGGGTCAATGTTTCCAATCAATGCTTCCAATCGGCGATGGGGTTTAGGGGAAGTTTTCCATGTGATTAGCCTCTCTTGATACAAATCATATCGATTTGGTGAGATTGTGCTACAGGATAGCTGTTGAGCCTCCCTACCCTTGTGCATCCATGTCACTCATTCTGTGTGCCGCCTATGTTGAACACTGTACGATTAGCACCCTTTACTTGAAATTTATAATGCATTGGGTCACATGGATACCTGGCGGTATAACCATCCAGTCGTGGATGAGACGATGCTTCCGTGAGTCCGAACCACAGTGGATATTGGTCGTGTAAAGGTAGCAATACAATATATCGCCCGTCTTGATGATTTTCGGCAGTTCAGTTCATAAAGTCGTGTGGCACCCCACATGCATATCGAAGTCTCGTAGTAAGCTACCAAGGCCACTCATGTGCGATGTTGGACGAAGATTGTATTGATGGTCGTCGAGACAAGGATGCACAAGCCTCATCTATTCGACTTTGCCGGCGTGCCAAGTCGCGGGGGTATAAATGCACCCATTTGTGTATATTGCCCGGCTGTTCCCCCGGTGGTAGAACATCAATCAGGTATCATCGTATCTTTATCCATTGAGGGCTGTCCATTGTGATTGATTGTAGTGGCACCCGCCGATTGCACCTGTGCCAAAATGTGGTGGGTTGCCGCGAGTGCACTGACGCTAATATCGTGGTATAAATCTGTGGAGGCGAAAAGCTTATGAATTCAGTTGGAAATGGCTAAGCCCGGTGATATTACACTGCTGTTCAACGACCGGGTACGTATCCATGAGTAATATAGCCCACGTTGTGCTGTCATATGCGGCCCAAAAAACTTACATATCGCGAGAGAACCAGGTTTCTTTGCTTCTCGAAGCATTGCAAAACTGTTCCTTTTTCATTCGTTGAACAAGAGTCGTCCCTCTCCATCCAGCGTCTCTTACTGGCCCAATCTCAGACCACCAGCCAACCATGCGATTCGTCAACATTCTCAGCACACTGTGCTGGACTACTCTAGCATCTGCGGCATTTGACCTGAATCGAGGAGGTGCTGTCCTCAAGGCTCCTGACGGCGACCCCTTCGCCAGCGTGACTGGAACCTTCACCGTTCCCAATCTTTCCGGAAACAACAGGCTTTCCATCTGGGTGGGTATAGGCGACACCCTTCAGCAAGACTATGTCATGAGTGGCGGGATCGTGTACAACAGCACATTGAAAAGTTTCTCAGCATACTTCCCAGGGCCATCAACAGATACAACGTCTTCCGTGCCTGTTGCAAATGGTAACTCCATCACCGTTACCATCAAGGCGGCCGACGCGGGAGGGACCGTGACTGTAGAAAATAAGACGCAAAACAAGCGGACCACTCAGACACTGTCTGGGCCCTCTGGTGTTGATCCTTCGAAGTTGACCGCACTTGTTGCCGATTTCTTCGTACAGGCATATCAAGTGACGCCAGGTCAGCTTGTTCAGACGCCCAACTTTGGCACGGTGTCTTTTACGGCGATCACTGCGACAACGAAGAGCGGAAAGAATGTGCCAATCTCCGGCGCTGGACGATACGAGATACAAGGGACTAGTGGACAGGTCAGTTCGCCATCTTTGGCTTTGATCGTAGGCTAATCTTGACCAGATGTATTCAAAGACTACCATTTCCAGCACCGGTGTATCTGTACAGAGACAAACTTAGTCTCACAGTGTGAAAATTAGACCTCAACCCCCAATTTATGTCGTGGGGCTTGTACTATTGTAGAGCATGTGGATCGCATCGGACGATTGAAGAAGCTATTTGTGTAGTCTGAACAGTTTGGTCAACTCATCTAAAATGAATCGAAAGAGCGTGCCCGGAGGACTTGAGAGTGTTATATAGAAATTCGAAAATTTCCAATGATGCAATTAGAAGTCTGCATAGCCATGCCTCTTCATTTTTCTAGGCGTAACCGCGTGTCTATATGGCATTGTGATGATCCAATAAAACGCCACCGCTGTGCCAACAATATGAAGGATATTAAAAATTCAGAGAGTCTCTCGCAATATGCTCTCTCTCGGCTTCGTACTCGATTCCGCGCTTGGGACCCTTTGGATCCTTGGATGGCTTCTTCTTCGGCTTGGGCGGGGGTCCAGCAGGACGCTTGCGCTTGAGGTTTGCTAGAGTCTTTTTGAGAGCTTCCGTCTCTTCATCAGCCGACTCATCCTCGTCCCTGCTCTCACTGGCGCTGGCGCTATCGCTTTCGTCCTCACCAGCAGAGCCTTCGTCAGGACTCTGTCCACCAATCCAGTCTTCGAAGTCTTCCATTTCATCGTCTGACTCGCCATCAATGTCGCTAACGTATTCGACCTCGCCGGCACCATTCTCCAGCTCGTGCTCGTACTCCTCGTCTTCCTCCTCCAGCCCGTCGTCAAGATCCTGATCCCGCTCGGCTTGTCCTTCCTTCTCCAGGCCACGCATGACCTTATTCCAGACATTTGGCTCGACGTTGAGTGGGCGATCGCCATAGGCGCCGGACCGTAGGCGCTCGATGAGTACTCGCTCGATGGCTCGCTCGACCTTGGCAGCAGCCAAAGCCTTGCGTTCACGTCCTTCCTCTCGTCTTCGCACTTTGGGCGCCAGTCGCGGGACTAATCTCTCACCCAAGCGCTCATCCTCTTTGGCGAGTTTGCGAATGCGAATGTTGACTTGAGTGAGACGAGTCAGGCGTTGCTTGTTCTTGTGTACGAGGAACTTGGGGAAATAGGCCAGATGCTGGTCGACGAGCTCAAGCGCTTTGGTGTAGTTGCTAGGCAATTTGATCTTCTCCCACCACTTGGAGGGAAGGTGGGCGCGTTCGATGGCCTTGATGTAGAGGTAGAGAGAGCCCGTGGCGGGGTCAGAGCGAATAGTGGCGTATCTCGAGTTGGCAAGGGGACAAGACTGTTTACTGCAGAAACCAGAGACGTTGTGCTCGTTGCGACAGAATGTCTGGTCCTTGGTCGTCTTCAGCTTGAAACTACAAAAATCGGTCCCGATGATGGACCACACGAGATCGTCTAGAAAGGCGGGCAAGTCAGCAGGTCAAACACGAGACGTGGGTTTGTCGTAGCGGCACATACCTGAAGCCATCTTGAGTATTGGAGGTGAAAGCGTGAAGCGTGGCTGGCGGGCTGTCGTGGGTAGTTTTGCTGATGGCGCCGACGAATAACTTTTTCGAAATATTTTGGAGACGCCAAGAGTTCGGGTGGGTCCTTCCTTCCAAGGTTCCCATCCATGCCCGAGGAGGCGCTCGGACCATGTGATTGTGTGGAGAAGGAGCGAGCGAACCACCAAGCGTCGATTTTCAACTCAAACATCAAAATATTTCATCGTCACCCCTCATCATGTGACTTATCTCGCACTTAATCAGCCCTCTCGGCATGAGAGCTACCATCTTGACTTTGAAGCGCGGCTACTCTCTGTCTGTATCGAAGCCGAGTTGTTATTCACCGCTTGCACGTACTGTTGTCCCACTTGGACGAGTTGGTTGCTGTTTGGCAGGCTGTGGCTCCCACCATGTCTCCTCCTCCTCCTCATTCTACAGTCGCACCCCATCACGCTTGAAGCCCGTCCATCAGCGTCAATACCATGCCAGTACTCCCCTTCATGACGATCCAACAATCTATGCTCTTTCAACTGCCCCAGGACGAGCGGCGATTGCAGTAATACGCATCTCTGGCTCAGCATGTCGACAGGTACTACCCCTACAGCGTCGACTCCCCATGGATTCCCACACTCACCCACGCCTAGATATACCATGCACTCTGTCCATCTGCTGCATTTCCCAAACCTCGTCAGGCAACTCTCAGGAAACTGTACACTCCAAACATTTCACCCTCGCCTGCGACTCTACTCGACTCAGGTGCACTCGTCCTGTACTTTCCTGCGCCCAGCACTGTAACTGGCGAAGATCTCCTTGAATTACATGTGCACGGTGGCCCCGCAATTGTTCGTGCAGTACTGGCTGCAATACCTGCGTGCACAAAGGTAGCAGATGCAGTTTCCGGAGGAACAGCTGCCGCCCAGATACGTTATGCAGAACCGGGAGAGTTCACGCGTCGCGCCTTTGCGAACAACCGCATGGATCTACCTCAGATTGAATCGCTGGGCGAAACGCTCTCTGCAACCACTGAAGAACAGCGTAAGCTGTCTGTTCGCGGCACCACTTCCTCGCTCGCGGCGCGGTACGAGCAATGGCGCATGTTGCTCTTGGCTGCTCGGGGAGAGCTTGAGGCCCTGATCGACTTCTCAGAGGACCAGCATTTCGATGAGTCTCCAGCGGTACTGTGTGCCTCTGTCGCGAAGCAGGTTCATAGTCTGCGTATTCATATGGAAGCGCACGTCGCTAATGCGGTTCGCGGAGAGTTGTTGCGAAATGGGATAAGTGTGGCTCTACTTGGAGCACCCAATGCAGGAAAGAGTAGCTTGCTCAATCGTATTGTTGGGAGAGACGCCGCGATTGTGTCCCATGAAGCTGGCACAACCAGAGACGTCGTCGAAGTCGGTCTCGACCTGGGAGGTTGGCTCGTAAAGATGGGGGATATGGCTGGGTTACGTAGGGCTGGTCTTCTGGGTGAAGAGAGTGTCGGGGCTATTGAGAAAGAGGGCATCAGACGGGCGAAGCAGCGAGCGTTCGAGTCTGATGTCTTGGTCGTTGTCCAGGACGCCACTACCGAGATGGATCCCGAAGTGATGGAGACGGCCAAGCAATGCGTGGGCATGGGCATCAGCGTTTTGGTTGCGATCAACAAGTGTGACCGACTCACTGAACCCGACAGTGCACATGCTGCCTGGCGTGCAGTACTTCAGCCCAGTCTGGGTATCTCGAACAATCAGGTCTCCTTTGTGTCCTGCAAAGAGGCCACCCCATCCAATGCCGGCGATATGCAGGCCTTTCTGAACAACCTTCTCAACACCTTCAGAACCATGACCTCCGCACTGGTGCCTGATTCCGACCCCGATCCTTCCATTTGGCAAGAATCCCTAGGCGCAACTGAACGTCAACGCGTCCTTCTTTCGGAATGTCTCATTTACCTCGATACCTTCCTCACCACTGTCTCAGCAGATGGCTCTGAAGAGGAGGAAGTCGACGTTGTAGTTGCCGCAGAATCCCTCCGCTCTGCAGCCGAAGCACTGGGGCGGATCACTGGCCGGGGCGAAAGCGGCGATGTGGAGGAAGTTCTAGGCGTCGTGTTTGAAAAGTAAGTCGTATCCACGTTTCCTTGTACAACGGTTCTAGAAGGGAGCCCCGGTATAAGGCGTTCCGACCCTATGTCTGTGCACTTTTGGCCCCCATGACGAGGAGCGCTGTACATGTATACATGCAGCGTAAGATCGCCACCTGTGAGGCTCTGCTCAGGGTCAGCCACAATGGAATTAGAGTGCTCGACGTCCGTGCTGGTGGTGCAGGCAGTCGTAGACGAATGATGGCATTCCCCGACTTCGCCTGTGCGTGCCGGCTTACGGACGATGTCATGGCGTTTGGTCACATGACTAAGGCGCTGGCTACTTTTCTGGACATTTTGGGGCTAATTACGCGGGTGCTGTAGGTTTTGTGTCGGCAAGTAAACGACATGGGCGTTTACCGAGGACGTTTGAATTGAAAAGCACGGCAGCACGAGGCACTGCACGACCGGTCAATGGCGATCGGTATGGTGTGGAGTTATGCTACGGCTTCGGGAGTCCAGACGGTTTCAACTCAAAGGCCGAGTCATATGGCCGGCCTTGTCGTATTGGGGGGAGGTGGTAGTGAGGCATACGCATGGCTCGATTTGCTGAACAGCAGGCGCAGCAACAGCGATGTCATGGGATGATGTCACCCATTTCAAAACTAGCAACATGATGCGTTATATTCAATCAACCTCAAGCCGGGTAACATGATGCAATACATTGAATATATCTAAACAGTAGCAACATGGCCAATCACATTGGAACCCGGTTGTCCGTGCAAAACCCAGGTTACCAAAGATCCATCCAAAAATCCATTTCGATAATGTTACAAGAGTATCAATCTCTCAAAACTCCCCCTCCGTCTATAACGCCCCCATTCAAGTTCCCAAACACCCAATCCATCCCACCCAAACCCACAACAACAACAAAAGCAAAACAAATTGAAAACTCAAAAAACAAAACACAAGTCTAACCCAATCACTCGTTAAAAAAATCCAAAATTTTCCTGCTCCTTGACACTCCATTTCTAGCCGTAGATGTACCATCAGCATACACAACCGCTCGCAAGGGAAAAGCACTAAAAAACTAGAAAAAAGAAATACAAAAGAAATACAAAAAAAAAAGGCAAGACAGGGAGGGGAAAAGAAGTCTGTTCAACAACGCCTGGCTCAGTGAAGAGCGTGTCCTGGTCTGTTTCTAGGGGTATGATGGTTGAGTCTAATGGGTTGGGGGATTATGGGGTGGTGTGGTGGTGGTACAGAAAGTGGTGGTGGTACAAAAGGGGTTGGTCAAGAAAAGGGAAGAAGGTGGGTGGATTGGTAAGAGTAGGAGGATTGGGGCAAGGAGACATGGGAAATAGAGGAGGAAGAGACATGGGAAATAGAGGAGGAAGAGACATGGGAAATAGAGGAGGAAGAGACATGGGAAATAGAGGAGGAAGAGACATGGGAAATAGAGGAGGAAGAGACATGGGAAATAGAGGAGGAAGAGACATGGGAAATAGAGGAGGAAGAGACATGGGAAATAGAGGAGGAAGAGACATGGGAAATAGAGGAGGAAGAGACATGGGAAATAGAGGAGGAAGAGACATGGGAAATAGAGGAGGAAGAGACATGGGAAATAGAGGAGGAAGGAGACATGGAAAACATGGCAACGAGGAAAAGAGGGCAAGTAGGAAATGGAAACAAAGGAAATCAAAAGAAGGTGGCGAGAAGAAGACGGGATGGAAAGGGAGAAACGGGAGAGAGGACGAGGTGTGCTCGCGGCGCGTGACGGGGTAGAATGTAAACGCATGGCGTACAACCGGGTCTAGGAATCTGTTGTGACATGGATCCGCAGACGAAAAGGGATCAGGCTACGCGGGAATCGCAGCTTTGCAAAGGTCGATATAGGATGTAGTGCTGGCGATGAAGGGGTACAGGATGAGAGGGACGGGGATGGAGAGGAGGTGGGATGTGCAGGTTTTTTTTACTGCACGGGCGGGTAACCGGCATTGTTGCTGTTGTCGTTGTCGTTGTTGTTGGAGGAGGAGGAGGAGGAGTGGGGTTTTGAGCGGGTGAGATGAGATTGGAGTGGTGATAGGACCGCGTTGGAGCCATTGGCGGTCTTAGTTGTAGCCTCCGCGACCCATGATGGCGAGTTCTTGAAAGATGATTTTCGAGGATTGTGTGGTATGGTTTTTTGTGATTTGCCTGGGGTGAGTGGGGTTGGGGTGGCGGGGTGGTGTGGATGAGATGTATGTTGTGCTTTGGGGGCAAAATTGGATGACTCTTTCTTGGCGTCTGAATTGATAATGACGGGAGAGAAAGACGGTTAGTTGTAGCCTCCGCGACCCATTGTGAAGAAAAGTAATACGGGTGTGGGATGAAGTTGTGGTGTGAGGAAGGTGTGTGTGTTGTGATGACGAGGGTGTGTGTGGGGTTGATAACGAGTGGGAGTGATGAGATGAGCAAGACGGTTCGATGGAAGACGGACGAAGACTTGATGACAGAGAAACACGGCCGATGACTGGAACTGGATGAGAACGCTTGACTCAAAGGGAAGAGAAGAGAAGACAGGAAGACCAGACTTATACGACGCAAAGAAGGAAGAAGAGGAAGAGAAGAAGAAAACCGGTGATTGGGAAAGCGAGCAGAAAGGAGAGCTAAAGGAGACAAGGAGAGAGAAACAAGACTTTGAAATAAAAGGAAGACGTGGTGGAGGTGCAGTGAAAAGGTGGTGACTACTCTGCCTGGTCCCAGGCATCCAAACCTCTTTATACCATAACCCTACCCATCTCCCGCCGATCCAGCTCGCACACCCAACCACAGCATTGGGACACACGGATCAACCGCTGCAAGGACCCCGGCTGCAAGTGCACACCTCTCTCTCTCTCTCTCTCTCTCTCTCTCTCTCTCTCTCTCTCTCGTCATCATCCCCCGTCCCGTTAGTCGGCGGCCGGTGCATTCGGGGCAGGGAGTGGGACTACGGCAACAGCGCTGGGAACGGGTAGTTACCAGAATAAGTTTCAGGGTCAGAAGCGGGGTGGAGCGTGCGGCTTGGGGCAGGGCAGGGCAGGGTAGAGAAGAGAATGAGAGAGGAGCGAGAGAGCGAGAGAGAGCGCGAGAGAGAGAGAAAGGGAATGAGAGAGAAGAGGCTAATGCAGAGTTGCATGCTGTCTGTCAGCCTCAAGCGCGCTCGGACGGGAAGTGTGCGCGGCTGATGGGTTCGTGTGGATGGTGTGCGTCGGGATTGCTGGGATGAGGGTGTGTGATTGGCGATGGGCGTTGAGGATGGAGGTGCGAGTGTATCCCGGTGGGTGCAATGGGGGTGTCTACCTAGTCGTGGTGAATAGATACGGTAGACATGAGGAATGCTTGTATACACCCTACCGGTACGCCCTCATGCTCCATACCGGTACCTACCAAGACCGATACCTACAACAGCGCCCATATTCCCCTTTCAGCAGCACGGAAACGGCCAGCCAACTCCATCGACCCTCGGCCCATGCACACACAAGATGGGAAGCAGAATGCGTCGAGGGGCCCAGGCAGGCAGAAGCAGACAGCCCAGGACGGGAACAGCTGTTGACAAGCGTGCCTGGCCTTTTCATTGGCTGCTGATGAAGTTGCCAATGCGCAAAACACAGTTCTCTCTCTCTCTCTCTCTCCTTAGAGTATCTCCCTGTCTTCCTTTTGCACGGCCACACCTGGCCACTCGAACCAATCAGGATGCAACAACGCCGTCAAAGCTGACTGACTCCCCTCTCTCTTACTCATTTCGACTCTTCCTTCACCCTCACCCACGCCCATTCGTCCACCCGCTCTCTCGTCGACTCGGGATCGGCAATGCGCCACACTCGTGCTACGGCACAACACAACACAATACAGGGAAGCGACACCAAGGAATCTTCCACGAGGCCAGCCTTGACTCTTGCGCCATCACATCGGTCACCCACACCACCCGATGCTCTGGCAGCCAGATGCACAAAGCCCTTGCCTCGACTCCCGCCTCCAATCCCCATGCCCGTCCCAATGACGAAACGGTACGACCTCGCCCTGCAGCGTGCACATGGCCAATGAGAATGGGTCTGAATTCGTCATTGTCAATTTGTCATGGACGGACTGTGTGGACTGGTGTGTCCCAGGCTCCAAGGCAGACTGAACATTCACCCCCCTCGTCTGTTGTCCAAGGGCCGACATGCGACGCCTTGCCCCCACCCCACCGCTACACACCTATTCCGCATCAAAACCAAGCCGTGTACAAAGATGGCTTCCCGTGCTGCCTACTAACCACCCGCGAACCGATCGTAGGTGTACTGTACATACCTGCACCCTCCTCCCCCACCCTCGCCTTCTCAGCCCCCAAATTTAGCCATCTCCCATCGCCGACCACGATGCCTCTTCCCTTTTCCCCAATGCGCCCAGCCAACCCAGCCAAAGCAGCACGCGCCCACATTTTGCATCTTCTCCAAACACTAACCGTACTTGTACACTGTCATTGCACACATTTGGCCATCCGACGCGCATCTTGCATCCTGCGTTTTCCCATGTCCAGGGAGAATTTAACCGACTTCCCGTTTCCGTCTTGATGAACTCATGACCGGATGCATGCGACTCGGGACTAAAAATAGAAAACGTGACTGCGCTGATGTAGGTAGATACATGTGTACACCACAGTCAGTAGCCTCATAACGACTAGGTCTGTACATGATCCCCTCTACCTACACATCAAACAGCCGCGCCAACCGCGCCATAGGTACCCTACCATAGGGCTGAGCGATCTACCCTACCCTACCCCACCCTACCCTACCTTACATTCACCCTGCAAACTCACCAGCATAATGCCAGCCCCCCCTTGCCCTCCTACCCTTCATCTACTCGACACAACAACACACACTCACCCACCCACCCACCCACCAACCGCAGCACATTTCCCACCTTCTCCCCACCCGCTTGGCCAACATATGACCCATTCCCCCAAACTAGACTAGTGTGGTTTTGTTCGTTTGGGGTTGGAGCGTACATGTCGCATCACATCAGCTTGTGCTCGAGCTATTTTGGGGAGAGAGAGAGAGAGTTGGTCAGATGGTGAGGTGAATGGTGAATGGTGGGAAGAGGGGGGCAGGGCTGTATGGAGGGCTATTTGGGGTGATTTTTAGTTTTTGTTTGTTTGAGAGTATGTCGGTTGATTGTGTAATCGAGTGCTGGGAAATATCATCTTCGTTTTGCGCATTTGTCACGAGATTCACGAATTGAATGAGTACTACGCCTGAGCGGGTTGATTTCAAAGAAACATGGTTGCACTGTTTTTCCCCCACTTTGAATGCAACTATCACCACCACCACCACCAACAACAGCAATGCCAAAACTCATCCTCATCCCCGACGCCCGAACCATCCAACTTTCCATCTCTGCACATATTTTTATCCTCACCATTGCCATCGTCATACCCATGCCTACCCACTCCGCCTCGTCCTTCCCGCCCGTCGGCCCAACAGACATCCCGAGTCGGGACCTGCGCAACATCATGGCCAGGCAAGTTGCCATCTGTATATGCTTTGACGCTCGGTGCTTGAGTCATAGTGCGAGATACTTTGGACCCATGTGCTCTTGAATCCCAACTCTGGTCTGGTTTGACTCATGGTGGCGATGATGGATCTGACTGCCGTGTAGGTGAAAGGTCTGGAAGGGTCTTGAATTGTCATGGTAACCAACTAATCCTCCCAGCATGGATGACTAGACATTTTCTCTCATGAGCAGTCGTCCGCTCGGCATATCCCAGCCGTATAGTTCTGGCCCAACATGGCCTTGTGCGCAAGAAATGTAAAGAAAAACCGGCCACTGCATTTCAAAGCTCCATCACCTCCTGCCCCAATTCCTCCCCTTCCCCCACCCTCCTCAAACTAACCCTAAATCCCGGTAACTCCACCTCACCAAACACCCCCGCGTCCCCCCGATCCCAAAACACAACCTCGTTGACCGGCAACCCCGCATACAACGGCCGATCCACATCTTCAACACAAAAACCATCCCAGACAGCCCCCGGTCCCGTACTCCTCTCCTCTGCCACAATCCACCGCCACTCCTCACCCCGCTGCTTCTCCGCATCGTGATATCCGTATGATGCATCGACCATAACGACTCCTTCGAAGACGTGACTTCGACGGAGAACGACGTACGAGCGTACTCGGGTCGTCCTGCTGCAGCCTTGAGCGCCGTGTCAATGTAGGCGAATGCGTCTGCGAGCAGGGGATCATGGGCGTTATACTCAGGTGGTGGATGTGCGTTATTTGGCTCGAAACATTTTGCACTCGCAATTCCAGGTGATGCTAGGAGGGCGAGAATCAACTTCATTGCGGTGTTTACGGCTTCAGGCAACTCGATGGCGAGATACGGTATGATGTCAACGTCTCCCACGCGGAACGGGCCATCCCGAGTTTGGGGCCGTGGCTCGCCTGTCTGAAGGCCGGATTGTGACGCTTTCTACTTGCTCCTTACCCGTGATTGAACTGGACACGACAGATATCAATGCCAACGCAATGTTTAGCAAGCCTTCTTTTCATGATATCTCTATTCTTTTAAACGCAGGTGGTATCGCCTGCTATTCGCATTCACCTCTGCACGCTCCACCTCTTTTCTGCTCAGGCACATCGCGTCTTGGGTATACAATCAAGACTCCGCTCTTTCATCTACCAAATGATATCAAAACTCCTAGAGAGGTACACACTGCTGACTTCCAGTAGCTTATTTATCGCGTTGCATGTGGGCGCAATGACTCTGGACTACCGACAAGCGATGCCACATTTCTTTGTTTTGGGCGGGTAATTGAGATATATAAATGGCATGTATTTGAGCTAGCTCTTCGCTGATCCCGCTCATGTTTATTGTGGCATCGCGTGCTCTTCCCCATAATATGCCTCGAGTCCGGGTCTACCTCTTTATCCAAATTGATGCAAGACCCCACAGCCTCGGCTGCGAAAGATACATGACCGACCATGTCTTACTATTTTCAGGAAATACCCTCGAACATCTGTATCGAGTTACAAAGTCTCCCAGTGTCGTCGATGCAAGGTTCTCCAGCTTTCGCAGGAGATCTGGAGGTTTGCATATGGAGCGCAAGAAGCCATTTCAATAGCATCAGAGATGCAGTAATCCTTTGGAACTTACATGAAGCACGACTGATTTACCGGCAGATCTCGGCAGATACCCGCCCAATATGACCAAGTTCATTAGGGCGAGATGAAGCATATGATTTATTAGACTTGGAAATGTCCAGGTGATGTCTATCAACTAAGCCGGGAGCCTTTGAGACACAAGTCCTCAAAGGTCAGACTGCCCCGATCCAGTTTCACGTCGATAGGAAAGCACAAACCTTCAAGTATGCGTTTCAAAGTCGCTGCTTTGCTAGGCTTGGTCGGGCTCAGTCAAGGTACGCCTATCGCCTTGAATGACCTACCACCGCAACTGGAACTTGTTCCCCGTCAAGCAAACATAACATGTCCGCCAACACCAAATCCCATGCCCAAAGCATCCGCTTTTCCCTCTGTCAAGACAATGCCTGATCCATTCTTTTACCTTGACGGCAAGACACGGGTTCAGAGCAAAGACGAGTGGGTTCAGTGTCGACAGCCCGAGATTCTCAAACTCTTACAGGAGTACCAGTACGGCTATTACCCAGACCACTCGCAAGAGACGGTATCCGCAACCAGGAGTGGCAATACTCTGACAATCACCATTGCTGCTGGTGGAAAGACGGCTAGTATTGCAGCTACCCTGACTCTGCCGAGTGGTTCAGGGCCTTTCCCCGTGATCATCTCTATTGGAGGTATGGATGTCAAGAGTTACACCAATGCGGGCATTGCGGTCGCTGCATTCGACTACACCAAAGTGGCAGCAGACAGCAACAGCAAGAGTGGGTCATTCTGGACGTTGTATAACGGCAAAGACATTGGTAGGTTCACATTTGCTGTGGCCAACTCCATTCTAACCGTGATCCGTAGGCGTCCTTACAGCATGGGCATGGGGCTTTCACCGCGTGCTCGATGGCATCGAGTTAAAAGTCCCCGAAATCGATGCCACAAAATCCGGAGTCACTGGTTGCTCGCGTCTCGGCAAGGCAGCCTTAGCTGCAGGCCTATTTGACAAGCGTATCGCGGTGACCATGCCCATGTGCTCCGGCGTTCAGGGTGCAGGCCCATACAGATATAGTCTGAGTGGACAAGGCGAAAACCTGGAAAACGCAGTATGGATTCCTGCTGCGATTGCGAATACAAACAGAACTAACCGCGTGTCTAGAAATCCGGGGCTGGGTGGTGGACCTCTTCAGGCATCTCTCAATTCGTCGGTAAATCGACCCAGCTTCCATACGACGCGCATACCATTGTCGCCGCAATCGCACCACGCGCTGTGATTTTGAGTCAGAACTCTGGCGACCAATTCACAGACTCGAAAGGAACTGCTCAAATCACTTTCCCGGCGGCAAAGGTGGTGTACAAATGGCTGGGCGTGGGTGAGAAGCTGGGCATGTCGATACCGAGTGGCGGGCATTGCGATCAGAATGGGTATGCCGACGTACTCCCGTTTGTGCAAAAGGTCTTGCAGGGTAAGAGTACAACGAGAGATTATGATGATCTGAAGACTTGGAAGGCAATGCCGGAAGCGTATCCGTGGGGAACGGACTTACCTCGAGGTTAGTAAGACAGACGTTGGGATCTGGGGTCCTGGAATCTGGCTTTCATAAACCAGTGATTGCCCGAATCAGACACAGTATCAATATCGCACAACTTAGTACTGAAGACGTGGGAACCATGGCTCTTTACGAATATTTTCGCACAGAATCCTCATGTGAGCTCTACATGTTCTGTGCGAGGCATTCTTCCCTTTCAACGACGAGTCTCTTGACCTCCTTGCAATATTGCAAAAAGAGACAGTGGCTAGCACGAAGACTACCGTAGAGGTCACAAAGCCCTAGACCCAAGTGTGAGTAAAAAATAATCCAATGTAAGCACATCAAACTTTCCCGAATGTAAACTTCGCAGTTGGCGCCTTCAATCATCGACAGCGATTCTCGTTGAGCAAAAGCAGGTGCGAGATGAAGAGTCATGTTGCCAGTACTATGCACACACATCCATCCTTCCACTCTGCTCCTTCTTCTCCTCATCGCCAGGCAGCTTTGAGAAGCCAAACTTCTGTCTGTCTTCTGGAACTCTCAAGTTCATCGCCGTCACCAACTCGCTCAGCACCGCAACGTCTGCTTTCGATACTCGGGCTTTCAACTTGCGCCCTCTGCGCAATTTTACACACTCCTTCAGTATTTTCCCTGATTTACATGACTTGGGGCTCGTGTTCCAGTTCTCCTGCTGAGCCGCTGCCATCCAGTCGAATGGCGTTGCCCCTATCGCCAGACAGACTTTGGATGCAGGCATAAAGGAGCCGTTAGCGAGCATGACCTTGAGTATACTGTATGCAGCAACCTGGCGCCAGGGCGATTGTTCACCGTAATATATGGAGGTTTTGAATTCCAGCCAGCGCAAAAATGAATGAAGAACCGAATGCCCGAACTGCCTTGTCTTGCCCTTGAGTCGGGGAAAAGACTGTCCGAACCTAAATATGAAGTTTGTGATTGCTTTACATGCATCGCATGTAACGAAGAACTTCTCGACTTTGTCAGCTGAGCTGCTCACTACGCTGGGTTCAAGTTTGTATTTGTCCATAAGAGCCGTCTTCATCTCATATGTACTGACGCCAGGCAACACAGCGACTGTGTGAAAAGTGATGAGTGCTAATTCTTCGTACATGGCCAAGATCCATCTGTGTTGATTGGCAACTAACAATCTCAAAATCTTGCCAAATTCCATGCATATAGCAGGTGGAAGTCTCGCATACCCGCAGAAATCGGTAATAATAGTTGCAACATCACGTTCGTCCCCGAGTCGAAGCTTCGTAATGTCTTGCAGAGTTCCTGGCCTGATGAAGTTCTCATTCACCTCGAGTGTTTCCTGACGTCGTGGCTAACGGCTGTCCTATGCGCTTGCACTCGATTCCTTCTAAACCTGATATGATTGCCATGGTCATTCAATGTATTTGGTTTACACATGAACGTCAAATAGATCCGCATGGTGCCCTACAGTGGGTATTTGGATTATAGGCTTGATAAATTCTGCAATGAATGACGAGAATTCCTCACCTACAAGGCTCAAATGTATCATACTACGTATATAATTACCATACGGGGGAGTACTTCTTTGACCGAATGCCCTTTAGGAAACCAGCATAGGCAGGCTTCTTGTTGTAATTTTCGTCCCAGACAAGAGCGGCACCTTCGTTCTCAAAAACACCAGGGATCCAGCTGTACTTGTCTGAAATTCCCCAGACAGTCATGCCAATACACCTCTTCACCGCCATGCAAGACTTTGCAATGCGCTCGTACGCAGCAGCCTGCACCTGAAGCTTCGCTGGTGTCGCAGGCGTATTCATACGTACATCAATTTCGGTATATGCGACGTCAACACCGAGATCAGCAGTTGCGCGTAGAGCAGCTTCTAGAGTCTTCTGGTCAGGGGTAGGGCCCTCTGCAGTTGGTGTGGTCTCGCTGCCCAAATGTGCCTGGTAGCCGACACCATCGATCTTGACGCCATAAGACTTGAGGAGCTTAACGATGCGTACAGCACCGGCAGTCTTGTTCGAGTTGTATTCTAGATTGTAGTCGTTGTCTGGTGACAAATCAGTACCCTTTGACATGATTGCGATGATGGACGCGAGCACTCACAGTAAAGATCGACGTTGTTGTCGTACTTTTTCGCTAGTCTGAAAGCGATAGGAAGATATGCCTCGCCAATTGTGTCGAGCCATACACTCTTGCGGTACGTGCCATTCTCTTCCAATGCCTCGTTCACTACATCCCAACGCGTGCAAATACCCTTGTATCGAGTGACAAGTTGCTTGATGTGGTTCTCCATGATCCCAATTAGTGTCTGGTTGTCAAAGCCACCGCTTGACACCCAAGCAGGGAGTTGAGAGTGCCAGACAAGGGTATGGCAATGCACCTGAAGCCTGTTTTTCATCGCATACGCCGCATAGCGATCGGCATCCGTGAAGGTGAAGTTATCACGAGATGGTTCAGTCGATTCCCATTTCATCGAGTTTTCTGGCGTGAATGCATTGAACTCTTGTTTGATAATCTCGCCTTCACGTGTCTCGTTTCGGAGTGTCAAAGCTGTGCCAATGAATTTCCTTCCCGCCTTCTTCATGGCTTGATATAAGCTATCCTCCTTTTGCGCGCTACATTATTTTAATTAGAAATGTACTCTTCAGATTCGGCTGTACTTACGGATACGCAAAGGCAGAGCTGGCGAGCGCCAGAGTGGCGACAATGGGGGATAGACGCATGTTGATTGAGACCTCGCACGTCGAAATTAGACCTGATGCTATCGGCCGCGAATATCGGTACAAGAGCGTTTCGTTCCATCATATATATCGATCGACGGTTATTCTCAAGGCCTAGCGTAGAAGAGTTCAGGTAATCTATCCGTTCTCGCATATATCAACCAGGTTGTTTAACCGGTCTTGCGCGCTCAGGTCAGACTTTGTCCATTGATGTTCGAAACTCAGCAACTTTTAAATCAAGCTGCACCCAATTTCCACTCGTGGGGGGCGGAACCCTGTGAACTATTCCACAAATCAACCGGCTTGGACATCGGAAATATTGGTGTGATAGGTGGCTTCGCGTTCACTTCTGGGGCAAGCCGGTCTAGGCATCGCTGGCCGTTTCCCTACCGAAATTTCGGTCTGGGGTATAGGTATCGCACGTGAGATGCAGGTCCCGCGGCTGCACAACGAACATGGAGTCAAATCTCGATACTGGGGAAGTGGGCCGGCTAATTGAGATAGCAGTTGCCAGTATCGACGCCTTTTGTGGCCAATGAAACCTTCATTGCTTGATCAAATGCTGATGAGGCTGGAGTTTCCGTGGACGTGACATTACGATGCCAGGTTGTCGGGCCTTCAAGGCGGTCCATCGAGACGGCGTCCAGCATGACCTAACATAATTTAGAAGCACGATCGTCATGCACTTTCATTATTCATGCATCAAGATCCACCGCCTAGATAAAAGGCGATAGATTTCGACCAAAAAAAGGACTGGCTATTCAATATAGCCTTTGTCATTCAAGGCACTCCGTGACTTACTGGCTTGCAAAATGCACGGCGCTTCCACGATGACGAGAAGGCTGGTGAATGTTGCGAATAACCATCATCGTTCCCCGCAATACCGGTAACTTGAGCCGCACGGTCACGCTTCAGTTGGCCTATTGCATATTAACCGTTCTTCCGGGGGCACTGCAGCTACCCTACATTGGGATAGTAGCGCGATGGGTGCTTCCGTTCATCCTCACGTCTTATTACCAAGACCAGCTGCGGCTATTATGTGCGAACGTTCTATGTGCGTATTACTCATTCTTTTGCCAATCCATACGTTCGATTGTAGTGTTTTTTGACCGTCACAATTGCCTTGTATACGTTGATACAAGGCGTCAATTAACATGTCCTTGACACCGCGTTGACAGCCAGACTACACATAGGACATGCCTTTCTAGGCAGTGTCCAACCATGGAAAGGAAATTGGCGTACATCGAAGTCCTGGAGGCTTTCCAAGCTGTAGTGACCATATCCTCGACTGTAACAAACGACAACGAATAACATATTGCTCTCTTGTTCAAGTTTCCTCGGCAATCAAGAAGGGCAGTGTGAGAGCGCTCGGTCGAACAATCTCGGTTAACGATGTGAACAAAGGAAGAGGTTCGCGTATTGCGTTGAAGATACCCACTACGGTACAAAACCGGTTTACAGTAGCCATATTTATCTAAAGTAGACTAAGAAGTGGTTTAGGTAGAAGAAGTAAACCTAAATAAGGTTTAATATACTATGTATTCCACTTTTACTTCTACTTCTATTAATCTACTAGTTTCCTACTAACTATCTAAGTATTTTACCCCTCCTTTCTTTAATCTTCTTCACCACCTCTACCACCACCTCTATTATCACCACCTCTACCACCACCTCTATCACCACCTCTATTATCACCACCTCCTATTAATATCATGACTTATTATTATGTTATCTGTACGTATAGCGTGAAGCTAATCTTCTCTACCCCTTTTAGTCTTAGTTAGGTATTATAGCGTATAATAGAAATAAAACTACTTTTTATACTTAATTTAAACCCCTACTATAAAAGTAAACTACTACTTTAATAAAAGTAAACTACTACTTTAAACCTATTTACAGGTATACATAAGGTCAGTTTACACCTATATAGTAAACCCCTAGCGTACCATTCTATAGTAAACAATTTTTTACCGTAGTGCTCTATATAGAAATCTTCGAAGAAATCGTATTAGCTTGCATATTCAAGGAAGACAAAGTGTATGGTACAGTGCCTCCGATACGTACAACTCGATCTAGTAAAGATCGACTGTGTGGGGAATACCGTTATTCATGCAGAGCCCAAAACCTGTTCGACGCCCCAGGAATTGGCTGTCTGACAAAACGAGTGCGTGTGTTGCCCACATCAAGAGGATTGGGAAGAGTTTTATGTTAGCAGAGTAAGAATCAAAGAGGCATTGTGAAGCCGATCCACGGTTGAAGAATACCAGACATCGCCGAGATGATCTTCTTTCCTGGACCTTCCGGCGATGAGGCTAGCCACATCGAGTTAGCACCACTCGGGTCCCTCACCGGCAGCTTCATTCGCAGGTAACATCAAACTCGAGTACGCCTTGCCTTTCGACAAGGCTGGATTCCTGGATGAATAGCTGCCTAATTCACACGAAATGTCACTTTCCGATATTCATCTGGACATGAGTGTACCACTCCATTGAGCACCGGGCAACATCCATGGGGGCCGATTTCCCCGCACTTCCGCAGTTCCCTCGCGCCTAGGCAGCATTGGCATCAGCCTGTCCTTCCACAAAACCATTCTCTTTCGTTCTTTTTTCGATTGAGATCCGGTCGGCACTCTGGGCAGGCTTATTCCAAGCTGCAGCCGTCGATATTGAGCCTCGATCTTACCAGGCTCAAAACTTGGCGGCCGTGAGATGACGTCTTTGCCATGACCCTAGCCTGGGCCGGCAGCTGGCTGAAGTTCACGTTTGCTATAACCTGTGAAATTGTCTGGAGTTCTGAGAGCAAGCACTCGACAGTCAGTTGGTACTTGTCTAGTTGTGGGTACAATACCCCTATGGACATTTCGGACGTTGGCGGAGATCAACTTAGCTGGTCACATACCATGTACGGTGGCTGCTTACTCCAGTCTGCCGTGCTGTGAAAGAGAATCCTAGCATATCGTAGTCTGCCTATGCTGTCGAAGTGGAGAAAGGCGGATCAGCCGTGTACGTGGCTGAGCTACAGATCTTGTTTCCTCATCCTATAATACTGCTCCGCAACATCATGGTCAATCAACCTTGCACAGTGGGCCTTGGCCATTGGGCAGGTGGCCTAGCTGACTCTGTACAACAACCGGTATCGAGGCTCTGCTATAAAGAGTTCTAGCCCTGGCACCCGATATCTTCCCCAGTGCAGTATCTACTTCAACCTAATTTGCTAAATCCAAGGACCTGTGCCTGAAGCCAGTCTGGAAGTCCCCCTAATATTGACCGGCAGCTTTCCAGCACAATGAAGTACTTGAGCGCTGGCCAAGCATCGCTATATGCTATTCTCTCAGTTTCCTCTTTATTCAGCATAGCATCGGCATGGCCAACAAATAATCTTCGTCATTCGAAATTTGCAAGCCGTCAATCATCTGATAATCCCCCTTCTGGGGGAGCAGAAGAGGAGCCCAAGTTCAACGAAGAGTATGATTTTGTCATTGCTGGGGGTATGTTCATCAAACTATACATTTCCAATATTCTTAACCTATTCCTGTTATTGATTCTCTGGCAAAGTGTTGGAACAACAAGTCCAAGTCTCCTCAGAAGGAAACTGACATGGTGCAGGAGGTACCGCTGGTCTTGTTCTGGCCAATCGTTTAACTGAGTCCGGTCGCTTTTCGGTCTTGGTTTTGGAAGCTGGTCCAAATCCTGAGCAGGTCCGCTCATACGAATCACCTGGAGGCAATCAGTTTATCAAGGGCAGTGTGATTGACTGGGGTCTTCTCACGACTCCGCAAGAACATTTAAACAACCGTACACTTCAGTACCTGCGTGGGCGAACACTGGGTGGATCAAGTACTACTAATGGGTTGTACTATGCACGCGGCTCCTCTAGCATATACGATCAATGGGAAAGAAAGGGGAATCCAGGATGGGGCTGGGATAGTGTCTACCATTTTTTTGTGAAGAGCACCAAGTTCAATGCGCCGACAACTCCGGAGCTCTCTGCTTTCAGTCAGGATTACAAGACATTCACGCCTAGCTTGTATGGGAGCGGCCCTCTTGAGCTAGGATTTCAAGGCTACGTTCCCCCGTCGACTGATGGATTTATTGTCGCCTGCTCTGAGGCGGCGAATATCCCTGTGGTCGAAGATCTGAACAATGGCGACGGCTTCGGCATAAAGCACGGAACAGCAACACTCAACAGCAAACTCAGAAGAAGCTCTAGTTACGACAGCTTCTACCAGCAAGCTCACAATCGAGCAAACCTGAGGGTAATCCACGATTCACCTGTCACCGGGATCGTAATGAGTAGCCCGACCAACTCTTCTAGCCGTCCACGTGCCATCGGTGTGAGCTACATTGAGCAACGAAGCGGATTCTCTAGCCAGGCGAGAGCGCGAAACGAAGTGATCATTAGCATGGGTGCATTCCACTCACCTCAGCTACTTATGGTCTCGGTAAGGGTTGCTTTAGAGAAATATAAGAGTACTTCTGACCTGTCTAGGGAATCGGACCTGCTGAAGAACTCGCTAAAGTAGGCATCGAGCCTGTAGTAGTCAACGAGAATGTAGGAAAACAGTAAGTACTTGAGACATTCAAGCTGTCAGGTCCGAAAAACGTCTCGCTAACAATTGTATGCAGTCTTAACGATCATTCAGTCTTCAGCATCATGGCCCGTGCACAAGATTTTGCCTCTACGACTGACATGTCCCGCACCCCTGAATCTCTTCGGGAAGCCCAAACACTGTTCTACAACAACTTAACGGGACCATACACTGCACCATCCGGTGTCACCAACGGATTCCAGAAACTCAACGAATCTCAGCTCCGCGAAATTGGTGCTGAAGCCATCATCGAAGCTGGTTTAGCGAATCAGACTCACATCGAATATCTCTTTGAATCTGTATGGTATCCCTGGATCCCAACCCCTTTCTGGGCACCGTTACCAAACGAAAGCTATATTAGTATCACAGCAAGTAGCATGGTACAATTGTCACGAGGTACTGTGACTTTACGGTCCGCATCAATGAGTGATTCTCCACTCATCAACTCAAATTACTATGCCGATCCTACTGATGCTGTCATTGGTATTGAATCATTCAAGTACCTTCGGAAGATCTTGAGGCATCCGGCGCTGCAGCAATTCACGCTAGGCGACTTCAATGGAGAAGTCAGTCCTGGTCCAGAGGTTGCGGATGACGACCATGAGGCAATCTTGGAATACATCAAAGCGAACACGATTCCCAATTGGCACGCAACAGGCACAAACCAGATGCTACCTGAAGAGGATGGGGGTGTCGTCAACTCGAAACTCCAAGTCTACGGTGTTGATGGACTGAGGGTCATCGACTGCAGTATCGTTCCCGTGCTGCCTGATGCCAATATTCTGGCATCTATCTACATGCTTGCGGAGAAAGGTGCGGAGATGATCAGAGAAGACTGGAATGACGAAGGCTATTGAAATCAAACGGCCATATATGCGCGACCTCAACAAGATAATGATTATTAATGACCAAGAGTCTAAGCAATAACATCCTCTTACTTACTGTCTTTTCTGGCTTATTTGGCGATATGAAACGAATTCAAATTACGCATATACCCGATTCGGCTATAAGTAATGACCGGCCAGTGCATCTGAGCTGGGAATAACTTTCGTTTTTTTTCATCGGCCATCGGCTTGCTATTTCAGTTCTTCTACCTTGGTGCAATTGGCGCAGAGTCGTAGGTACTTAGTCAATCTCGTAGGTCAAAGCACTATTCACTCACTAGTGTTATCATTTCCCAAATGCATCTAGCGCCTTGGCGAGGCGATGACCTCGTTCGATTTACGAATGCAAAGTTCAATGCTAGGGCACTATTACAAGAGGAGGGTATGAATGCACTGAGGGTGGGGTACTGATTGCTGATCAATTACAATACTGCCATGAAGTGGGAATCCGAGATACTGTTCCTCCCAGACCTCCGGATATGGCAAGTGTACCTACCCGAGGCTTACAGAACCATATGAATTTGCACATGGATCGGCGTAGAGTTGCATACAATTGCAGGTGGTGCTATGCATGCTAGGAGTATGCAAGCTGCCTAAGCCTACCTAAGCACAGTTGGTGCAATTCTTAACCTGAACTCAAGTTTATGGGATGTACAGAAGATTATAACCATCCTGATACTGACAAGGTACCGATATTCGACGATTCGTGTCATGGAAAACCTTCAACACGCGTCCTCCGCGTGAAGCGCTCTTCGCGAACGCCATGGCATTAAAAAGGTAGAAGGTGAGACTGTAAATGCAAGTGTTCTGAAAGCTGCCTCGGAGATAACAACAACCAGCAGCGTGCATGTCTGCGACAACTTCCTTTAAGCAGCGACAATGTGACAGCCAAGAAAGATGCGCATAAATCACGCCTTGTAGGAGGGTTGTGACAGATAGCAATTGGCAGTCGCTATGATATCCTGGTCTTTGTGTGGTACCACTCCCACGGCTTTGAGATCGGGAGTGTTTCAATCTATACAGTACACAGTAGGTCGTTTGCTGCCTAGGTTATTGATAGGAATGAGATACCGTATGCATACCACACATGAGAGGTGTGGAGTGTGGCTAAATAGTGATCATTCGGGCCGTTTCTTTCGATGTACTACTGGCATGTCAGACAGTCGGTCCTTTTCCCAGATCACCACGTGCGGTCATTGCCCACATGTGCTGCACGACTATCGGCCATTCATATTGTTAGACTACGGCCACATGGTCGCCTGATGAAATAGTCTGGGGACTTCTGTATGACCTGATTAGAAATTTTAGAGGACTGGACAGTGAACAAATGCAGTAGGACAGGGCGGCTGGGGTCCATGTTTCGACTAGACTGGCACTGCATTGCGCTAAGCTCTTGGATCTCGGATATGACGCTCTTTTCAACCTTGGTTCCCAGGTAGATAGACAGTTTCCCCGCCTTCCCCATTATTCTCGCCATTCTGTCGGGCAGATTCTGATTGACTGCTGTCATCCGTCAATTCCTAAGAGCCGCACAATCCCGCTGCTAGACAAGGAAGGGAGCATCCGCTCCAACCCAGACGATCTCAAAATAGCATTGCGATCGCTGGTCTTGCGCAGGCACAACATGGACCTAGAGCATGCATCATACGACACCTTTTTTGAAACCGTAGCTGCCTTCATCCGGAATCCTCAATCCTTCGTCCACATGAGACACTTGGGTTAGGGCGAATGCTACTGGCGTGGGCATCAACAGGGTGTTTGCAGATTCGTAGTTTGATTCCAGAGGATTTCATAGTGACGGACGCTGTAAAGTACTTCGATTTTTTACAGGAAACTTCGAGCTCAACCCATGTTAAGTCGGAGGTCTTCTGTCTTTACTAGGTATGTATCTCCTTCGCGCAATGTCCAGGGTCTTTGCGCTAGGTTTATTGCCTAGTTTATCCAACGCACAAGTGCCTATGTACAGTATGTACTATCGTCTCTCGGTGGATTCTGGAGTTGGCAGGGTCAACCACAATGATGCCGGCTATAACACACGTGATAGTGGTGTTGCCCCGACTACCTACCTAGGTAGTTGTGCTGATCAAGTTGTACTCTAGCCTGCCTCGACATGTGATTGCCGTAATACCTCCCGGGTAGGTATACAGTAGACAAAGACGCCAGTTCTCTGGCCGTGGGACTGGCATGGGCTGGCCATCGGACTGGTTTGTTGCGAAACTGGTATTGTATGCGAACCTCCCCTTGCCCACACAATTTGCTCCCCATATCTTTTTCAGCTTTGGATCAACCATACCACAGTCGTCAAGGATCCCCTTCCCCCTTTACCACATCGTAGGAGCCACGGGGGCCGGGATGAAGACCTCTCCAGTGAATAGGGTTTGCATGTGTGGTACGCGGCAGAATTGCGAATAGCGGGACTCTGTTACCGCTTGCCGCTAGCGTGAAATCGATACCGGTGGTAACGACTACCGGTAACGTTAGTACCGGTATAACTTAGCAACTAGGCAGTTTTTCCCGACCTTCGTCTCTCGTAGCTCGAGCCATGGTCAAACTATTGGTGTAGACGGCGCAACACCATGATCAGATCCCAGTGAATGGAGGCCCATCCATCTTGCCAGAGGACGAGGAACGAGAATCGTATGCCATTTCGCTGGATCCCTTACAAACAGGGATCATCCACGTCGTGGCTGTCAATCTGAGAATCTGTCGCAGATGCAACACCAGAAGAAGAAAATCAGTTCAAGTAAAGTACAGTACAGGCAGATAGCCAAATCTTAGAACCAGAGACTGGGGAAGGTTTCGCGACGCTATGTACCCGACGCAAGGGCCGGACTCAGTTTATCTATGCTTTTAGGAATACGCCCGTTTCTTTCAGTCACCAGGCACCATGCGAAGGCAGTTTCTGTCTTGCAGCTATGGGCGTGGTATGGCAACTAAGATGACTTTGTTGACTAACTGGACATGCTGCATAGGCCATCTTCGACAATCACTCGGTTGCAGCTCGTTCCACGAGTTCATTAGCAGGTTATGGGACCCATGAGTTGAGGCCACAAACCTTATATTGCGTGTTAGCGGCAGGACTACGACAAGGTATGTGTCGCACCTACATGATCCCCACGTGAAAATCGTCCATCGCTATTCTCTTCGTACCAATTGGCAACGTGTACTTTCATTCATCAGCAGGGCTGATATCACGCTATAGAATTGTGGGTAGATGTACGATGCAAATGAATGCAGATGACCCCAGAGCATGGCACTCGCTAAGCTCTTGTCACATCCGCCCAAACCTTTGATGTACTGTCTGAACTTCGCTTAACAGATCGCTGGACACTGAACTGAGTATGTACCAATAGCTCGTTTCCACTTCTTGGGCTTCATGCGGCTAGGTGCGTATTCCCGCACCAATTGGCTTTGCACTAAGTTAGCCTCATAGTGCCATCAGAACAGCTCGCCAGCCCTACCCTGTTGGACCTGCCGCACCCATATGTCAGTGTGCGCCTCCAAAGTCAGTTACTTCCGTCAATCGTGTTAGAGTTTTGGTTCCCCCTCAAAGATCTTCGAGCCTCAACTGAGCGTTCATCCCACTTCAGATGCCTCCTGTGGCAAAGCCTGGCAACCGCTGATCCGTTCCGGCGAGATAACAATACCCAGGCCCCTTACTCCATCTTCATGAGGTACCATACTTGTATATCCACAATTCATCATTGTGCTCTCTTCACATCTGAACGCCGACCATGTCAAATCTATCTCCTGAGGAGATAGCCGAACTGGCGAAAGAAGATAATGGCCCCAAGACTAGAGCGATTGCATACTCCTTCACTGTAACTGCTGTCATTTGCGTCTCTCTCCGGATGTATACTCGTATCAGATACCTCGGAAGATCGCTTGGATGGGAAGATTACACAATCGGTGCATCGATAATCTGTGCTATCATAACGGCAGTCTTTCAAATACTGCGTAAGTCCAAAGTATCACAAGAAGTATATCTTCCTAACAAGGAGTAGAGTTTAATGCCGGTGGTGGACGTCACGCTGTCACCATTCCATTTCCAGATGGCTTAGTGCCCATCTTGAAGGTAAGGGTCACACACTGTTTCCCTAAGTTTACCCCTAACAGTGATCAGAACCTCTATATTAGTATCATCTTCTACAACTTGAGCCTTACCTTGACCAAGGTCTCGATCTTATTACAATATGGGAGGATATTTACGGTGCGGGAGATGCGTATCCCATTACGCATCGTCATGGCAATGTGCATCTCGTATGGCATAGCCGTCATTTGCACGTCGACCCTCACTTGTGTCCCTATCCGAGCCTACTGGCATGTTCTGGAGCAGGCAACTGCCAAATGCATGCCAAATAAGGTGCACGTAGCTTCCGCTGTACAGCTAACGAAGGCGATATGCTAACTCTCCCCCAGTCTTTGGTATTCACATGCCGGCTTTAATATCCTAATCGATGTCCTTGTCGCCACCCTACCCGTTCGCGTCATCTGGAAATTGCAAATTCCCAAACAGCAGAAGATCGCGTTGCTATCTATTCTCACCATCGGTTGGTTCGTCTGTGTTGTATCTATCCTACGACTACACGCCCTCACTGTCATGGTCGCAAACCCGCAGGACACCACTTGGTATAGCGCTGCATCCGCGTACTGGTCCACCATTGAGATGAACATGGCCATCCTATGCGCATCGCTCCCTGCACTGAAACCTCTACTTGTCAACATCATCCCTGGTTTCGCCTCGCGGACTACAAGCCGAGGGTACGGTCCAAACAGTGGTCGGAGGCCCAGTTTCCCCTTTGCCACGATCGGCGGTTCAAAAGCAAAGCGCACGGTGGACGAGGAGTTGGAAATGGAGCCGAAGAGGACTATCAATACTCAAGTGTACCCATCTGCGAGCAACACAAGTGTACATGGAAAAGACATTTACGTCACTCGGCAATTCGAGCAGCACTGCCATTTCGACAGGGATGTTCATAATAGTGACAGTGAAAGTCAGAAGGATTTGGCTGATAGCGAGAGCCAGAAGGGCCTCGTGGAAGAGCCGCCAAAAGTCTATGAGAAGCGGTAACACGGTCTCATGATGCCTTTTGCTCATGTAACGATTTTTATACGATTAGTATAATAATATCATGAGTTTTACACCCGTGCTATCTTCACATTCGCATCCTATTGTCTTCATCAATCCAGTGCTCATTCCATACGGACTGATTATTTCGTAACAGAAACTTTGCTAGTTCATCAATCCAGCTCGCAGATGCAAGTCACAGTTCATCAACATGCACATCGGGTGCACTGTCCCCGCAACGCGCATGGCCCTTGGAGCCGTGAAGGATGAGCTGGTAGAGAACCGCGTACCTCATAGTGACCCATTTCGAACATACGCCAGTGCTCGACATCGATCAGGGGTGTAATATTTCAGATCAGCGCATCAACCCGCCTAGATAAAGTTTGTTAGATTTATCACTGGCGTCGGGCCGAACGCCACGATCTTTTGCTGAGGACCATAGCTCCCCCCAACGACAGTCCAATGCAGCTTGTAAGACTTGATTCCATCTGAACGAAGTGGCGTTACATATTCTAGCCAGGGCCAGGTTTAGCAAATCTGATCCTATTCTAGATGATTGGAGCAGACAGCCCTAGAGTGGCGGTTCTGGACCAAAAGTTAACCGACGGTGGCGCAATCTCGTCAGGCGCTTGAGCCGTGATTGTCTCATTCTCGTCTTCAAGCTGATGGTACTCCAATGTGGCTTGCAGCCTCGCTGTATCGGTACCTGAGCAGCTCAAATATCAAATGAGCCGGTTGAAGTTTATTCACAAACTATATACGCCACTACAGCAATCGGCTCTGATGCTACTTGCCCGACTGGCTGGCGATGTCTTCCACGCACACTCTAGTACAAGGTGATGTTTCGCTACTGCCAGTATGTCCCTTTGATACTGATTTTTACCAATGGGAAGTGAGCCGTTGCAACGGCTGATAGAAATCATGGTTCATCGCTTACGTACATGCGCCAGGTTATAGCGCGCTTGCATCATGTACGGCCACACGCCATTTTGGCGCTGTTGCTGTGTGAGAGTGAGAGAGAGCTATTCGTAACGTTTAACCCTTCCGTGTGAGAGTTACGTATGAACGTCTGATGTCCGGTTGTCCTCTTCCGACCACAGACCATATGGTGAGCTTCACTAGGTCGTCATCATGCAATCAACGCAGTCCACTGGTTACACTTGTGCTTCTAGTTCCGGAAACAAGACTCGCCGAGAATCAATTGGAGTCATGGAATAAGGTTCTTCACTGCCGAGAAGGACCGCAGTCTTGATTCAAGGATGGTAAAACTGCAGCTGTATTGATGTTGAGAGTGGGTATATTCTTGCCGTAGATCTTGGACCGGCCATCCTTGTCCGGCGTTCAGAAGGCGAAGTGAACACCGAGGCAATAGTTACATGCGGCATGCCTGAAGTGGGGTCAATCTACCTAGCCGAGCCATGTCGCCCACGAAATCCCATGAGGAGGGACACCAAAAGGCATCAAGTGATGATGCAGAATGTCCATCGTCGTGATCTTCGACAAGGATCCGTACCAATGTCAGGAATAGCTGGTATTCATGGTCCGCACACCGTTGTAACGCCATACATGAACAAGTTCAGGCTGATGTATCAAATTCAGTCATGAAGGTTTTTGCACTTTCGGAAGAAGCGGAGGAACAGGTTGATCACTGTGACTACGGCGACTTCCCCTCTCTATGTGCGGTATATACTTCTTCCTGCACTGCGTTGGCAGCGCGGATCCTCTATCTTCAGAAAGGCCCGCTGGCTTGCGTTCTTTATGCGATCGACGTGCCTAGAGAACTTAGCTTAGTCGTGTCTCCCCGCTATTTTCTGATTCTTCACACCCACACCTCCATCGATTCTTCTTCGGTATTACAAGCTACATGCAGGACTAGCATATACTCGAAAGTTTGTAAGAATCTGCTGCGCGGTTGCAGAAGCTGGGCTCATCACGCTGCATACTCAAAGCATAACGACTGACAGTTGGCACAAAAAATACTCTGCATTGAGAGCGGGGAAATCAGGAAGAGGAAGAGACCACTGGAGCATTACAAAAGAGCATCTGTGTCTAGGAGAAATCTCTCGAGTAGCTATCCTGAAAGACGTTGGAGCTGCGCCAGAGTGTGCGTAAAGCTCGTCAATTGCTATGATTGTCATCCTCTTGTTGAATTAATGCGGTTGTTGCAGATAGGACATCGAGTATGTAAGGTACCTTTTACGTTCAATACGTTCTCGAGTTTATATCCATTTGATCATATGAAGCGTTTATGGATCAAGCCTTCGCAATAGTCTCGACTGTGTTGAGGATATAATAGGCGGCATAACTTGAGCTTCTCTTATCTGACCCCGAGTGCCAGAAAGTAAATACGCACCCCGCCGCATAGTGATAAAGAAAAGTTGACGCGGTTCAGAGGTGGTGTGATCATGAAGGATGGAAGCATGGGCTTGCGATACACTTTTCATAACTGCCAAAGCGCATACAACCGCAATACGTGCGTGGGCATACTTGTTTTCTATGAGTTCCCTGTGTTTTCTGATTCAATTATTCGAGGCCGGGTGTCATGTACGGTGTCATCAATCTCTTCATATCATCTCAACACTTATTCGTCTCTACACGCCTCCCTATATCTCACATCTACATCCTCTCTCTTGACGATGTATCATACATTTTTTAGCAATACCCACAACAACAGAAACATCCCATAATGTAAGGTCCCTGTGATCTCAGTAATTCTTCATTCATAGACATACTCACCCGCACCAAGCAAGAGAGACCCCGCCAGTTGAACAAATTTGTCGGACCGCAGATGGAGTCTCGATAGCCCACTCAGAGAAACGTGTGCGAAATCTATGACTTACAGACTATAGCGAGTGAAATTGTTCATGTAAGTGTAGTACAGGCTGTACGCCCTATAAACATGATGACGTTTCACCAATGAAGTGCGTAAATCGATGCTCATTAACATTTCCCATTTTCATGTACGATTACACACCACATGAAGAGCAGTCTCATCGTAGTGTATCCCGCATAGAAAAGAGAGCGAACCACAAAGTTGGCAGTGCATGCATCACAATCACTGCAGTATTCAAGCATTTAACATAACATTTTTATTTCCTATCCATCAATGCTCAATACAGCATCGGTATCAAACAGGGTAGTCGCACGACTTCTTCATCCATGTCCTGATCCACGCTCATACCCCGTTCTGTCCAAGTCTACAGCCCAAGAAATGCCTTCTCCGCTTCAATAGCATCACGGACTAGACTTTTATTAGGAATGCAAGAACGAAAAAACGATGCATGAATACTTACGAACAATCGTGATTCGCCCCGTGAGATTGCCAACCGTGCACTCTGCATGACCACACTGTACAAATAGTTCGTTATTATGATCCGGAAATGTATTCATACACAGCTCTTTGATTTCCGCCTCATCATTCGAAGGTATGTAGATCCGGAATTTACGCCCTTCATCCTTGGCCTTAGGGCTAGTCAGGACTTGAATTTTTCTGAGATCGCTGAGGTAATGTTGACAGCTTGCAAAGCCTACGTCGCTCCTATAGACTTTTTTGCCGCTGACCACGTCAGAAGCAGCAAGTGTGTCGTCCCGACTCGTGCCCTTGATGTTAGGATCATAGGCTTCGATAATGGCGGCTTTGCAATCATCAAGAAATTTGCCTAAGGTGGACATGGTATGATATGCTCGAGAAACAGTGTGAAGAAAACGAGACTTCATCCTTCGTCCTCTGTCATCAACTTTATACATAGCGTTTGACTCCCGCCCGCGCTGTGAACACAATGACTCTGACACCGACTAATATCATCACAATCTTGAGTCTACAAGACGCGCAGGCGTCGTTGAAGAACCGAGATTGGGTTCTGGTGAAAGCTCATACAGTCATGGTACTGCGCTACGGATATTGCATGTTCTTATTATCCCTCGTACAAATATGTCTGAGCCAATGCGGAACAATTGCTCAGTCACAGATTTGTTAGTCATGGAGCCGGAAAATATGATATGACCAGGTATATAGGAAGCTAGTTTTTTGCTCTCCTCTCGCGCACACATAAATCTTGACTTGAACAATGGTAAACGACGCTGTGCTATTCAATCATTAGCATCGCACCACTGAATCATCTGGAACTACTGGGTATCTCGCTCATTCATCTCCATCTGAATACGTAACGCCTCCTCTGCCCAAAACTCCGCCAGCTGTTCTGCACCTCGTGGCCCCGCAAACTGAAGCTCCCCGTTGAGTTCGTCGCCCTCGACGCCATCGAAAAGCCGCTCAAAGCATGAAGGAATCTTCACATTGTTGAAATGTCCATATGGATGATCAGGATTGAGCCAGGCGCTGCACAAGTAGCAGAAGTGCGTCTTACACTGGGCGCAAGTCATGTGATTACACCCCGAGCTTTTCTGACATGGTATCGAGCAGTAGGGACACGGTGTTGTGTTTTTGTTGATGAAGTTGATCGATGCTTGCTCTTCTTCAGTGAGTTGGGTTGCGTCGCGTGGTTCGCAGCGGACGAAGTCACCGTGCCACGAGGCCAAGCAGACGGCGCAGAATGCGAATTGACAGTCCTCGCATACTACTAACCTATCCATCTCTTCCGTACCCTTGAAACGTTTTTCCGGTCCTGATTGAGCCGTATTGTCGTCCTGTTGTGCATGGGCAGCGTCTTCTGCCTCGGAATCCGACTGGTCCATGTTGGTAACGTCGATAATCTTTGGATACTTTTTGCTTCGCATGGCACCTTGGCACCATGACCGGGGGCAGAAAATCATCGTGGGATCTGACTCAATCTTCTTCTTTCGTTTCAAATTTACATATCGTTCGACTTGGTCTCGCGGTATTGGAATTGCCAACAACTCCTTTGGTGACAGTAGTCGGTCTTTCTTTTGGCCTGCAGTTCCCTTTTTGCCGCACTCTGTGGACATGCACTTGACGTTGTTGACATGCCCTTCTGAAATGCAGCTGTTGTAGTAGTCCTGGAGACAACCGACACAGAAGACATGAGCACAACGTTGCATACGGTAGCAGGCTGATCCTTTCTTTGGCTCTAAGCAGACTCCACAGTCGAATGTCTCCTTATCGAAAAGCTCTTTTTTCAGTCGATTGCTGTAGTCCACAAGCTCTATTCGCATGGATCCAGGCAACGTGAGCTCTTGCAAGCCAAATGTTGTGGCCGCCTGCTCTTTGAGCGATTCTATATAGGCGAACAATATCGCACCGCCGCCGTATTCCTCCCATATAGAGTTCACCTCAACTGTGATCCGTTGCCGAATCTGTTCGGGTAGCCATGATGGCGAGGTCGTAGGTGTGACAGTGGGTGGGGCATGCGCTGGATAGTCCGAAGGAAGCAAGAAGTCGAGGTGCAGCGCTGGCAGATAGGCGAGCCGTTGTACATCCTGCTCCGGTACGAACGTGATAGGTAATGGCTTTATAGGCTGCACCAGTATCTCTATTGTAGCAACGTATGGATTGTTTGCGTCCCGAACTAGTTCTGGATAGATTGATTGAAGCGTTTCGAGCTCCTCCGCACGTTCGTCGTCGACAATCTCCATTCTTGTAAAAGAACAGACAAATAAAGTTGGTTATGCGAGAGAGTTCGGTGGTCTTGTCTTGGTGATTCTAAGTGTGGAGACGAACGGAGAGAGTGGCGGAGAGAGATTGTTATTACGTATGGGGTTGACTCTCGGAAAAAGGGCGTAACGACTATCTATAGCGCATGAAAGAGAACGAGCCTTTATAAAGGGCCATGCTGCTGACTCATTCGCAGTCGAATATGATCGTGAAAGCGTGAATATCAACAAGATGGGTGTACGGGTGTGGCAACACAGGCTCACCGAGGTGATAACAAACTAGCGGCATGCCAAGCCGCTCGGTCTAGCTGTCGTCATCACGCGTCTAGACTTCACTCTTCCACACTTGGGCAACTTACTTGTAGGGTTGTAATTGTGGGTGGTTCGTTATGGAGAACCCGCCACTTGCCTCTCTTTCTTTGACGCATGTACATTATGTTCGTAAACTACAGAGAACCCTCGGAGAAAGCAGCTCCTAACATCAAACAGAACCCTGCTGACCGCATCTCATACCTGTGCGCATGGCTTGCCTTGGTTCCACAGGGTCTATGCGTGGTGTACGCGACACTGATATGGTCTAATCGCGAAATCGAGATCTTTCTTATGTTCGCCGGCCAGATGGCCTGTGAAGCGCTCAACTGGGTGTTGAAGCGGTACATCAAGGAGGAACGACCACGAGGTACTGTCACCTGTCTCTATTTCAAACACTTTGGTATTGACGATTGCACAGAAATGCATGGAAAAGGCTATGGGATGCCCTCGTCACACGCACAGTTTGTGTCTTTCTTTTCCGTCACGCTTACGTTGTTCCTCCTCTTCCGACATGTACCGCATCCGACCGAAACCCATACGCCCTTCACCTTTGGAGGCCGCGTCCTCCTTTCACTTGCTGCTCTAGCCTCTGCAGGAGCTGTTGCCACGAGTCGTATATATTTGAGCTATCACACGCCAAAGCAAGTGATTGTGGGTTGTATTGCTGGAGCTAGTTTTGCATTGATCTGGTTCGGCTTCACCACTGTCTTGAGAAAAACTGGATGGATTGAATGGGCGTTGGAGACGTGGGTCTGTAGGGCTCTTCGTGTTCGCGACCTCGTGGTACAAGAGGACCTCGTCGATTCCGGTTGGGCGCGTTGGGAAGACAGGAGAAGGCGCCAAAACTTCCGCGTCCAGGGCAACAAAAGCAAGTAAACTTGAAGTATCGCAAGTAAATCTTTTAAGCACTCCCATGAACTTTCCATCATCCAATATTCATCTGTGGCGATTTCGAATTCCCGCCAGCTTGAAGGATATACTTCTCGGTTTCCGCCACTTATAATTTTATCTTTACCGTCAGAGAAGCAATAGCACTTTACCGCACTATTTTGATTGCTTTACTAAATCAAATCTCCTTCTCGCCTCTCAGATTTCTTTTTCCTTCATCACCATCGCACGCAACCCCATGGTCTGTCTGTTAGCGCTGCACCCATACTACACATCGGCCAGCACTACTATCCGCAACGTACCACATACCAAAGATCAACAAGAAGTCCACCATCATTTCAATATCATCAGCCACTATGAAATTGACGGGCCTCGTTTGTTCCATCACAATCTCCAGGCATCAATCTCCCACCGAAATCTACGGACAAAATCAGGAAAGCACTCCCATCCATCATCCACAATTCCTGCATCACCGGACACCTCCAGCGCGCTGCTCGAGCTGCGTTACAGAAACCCAAAGACTACCTGACACCAACATTCTCAACGCCTACCGCACTGATCATTGCGAACAAGGTCCTGGTTCCCACTTCCAAGAGCAAGGCCAGCAGCAATTCCGCCGATCTGCTCGCCAATATCATAGAGGTGGGAAGACACAAAGGTTGTTGCCCGACTTGCGCCCGCAGTTGCGTCCACCTATCCACTGGGCAAGGAGACGTACGCAACGAGGGCACTTGCCGACATGGCCACCCCCGTCATGGACGTACACGATGAGCCCTCGACAGTTGTGATGACGCTCTAAACACGATCGGAGCAAGGTCGTCTAGTTGCTGACCCGAGATATGCACAGAGTAATTTGGGGTGTGGAATGTGCAGCTAGCTTGCGACGGACTGGTATGGGTCCAGGCTAAAGATGTACTCGGCATAGGAGTAGGTAGATGAATATATGTGCAGTGTGAATTTATACCTCTCTACACATCATTATTGATGTTCTTTTACTACCTCCCGGAGTTCTTATTTGCTATCATGTAGCCCTATCTTCTTTACTACAGAATTACATGGGAGGGCGTAGTGATATCGCTCAGATGAAATGTTAGAAAACAATGGTTGTACAGGTAGAAATCGGCACATCATTAAAACACGTATCTTTTTCCCTCACACGTTCTACCACGGTAAGTTTTTTGATCTGGTTAACATGCATGATGCACCGCATATACGCGAAGCGCTGACAGATGGTAAGCTTAGCAGGCTTGTGACGTCGCTTTCGCTCTACGATCCAAGCTCTGATATCTGAGCAAGACTAACAGCTATCAAAATCGCCGTCTGTCGAGGTAATGACTGGAGACATCTGCAAGGTGGTAGGGGCACAAAAAGCACAGCTTAAGAATCGGGCGACAGAGGGGTCTAGGGTTAGGTATGCTAAAGATGTGTGAAGTTAGATCTCCCTGCATGTGCCAACCATATCCTTTTGGGATACAATACACCGAGTCCTATTTAGCTATTTTCAACCTCTATTTTCGCTCCAGTAGTATAGTGCTTAGTAATATTGCCAAATGGTGGTTAAAAAAGAGTAAGAGTAAAGGTGAAAATCCGATAAGGGTACGAAATGAGGCAAAGGCGGTGTCGATTGCAAGGACATGTAGGTAAGGTTTCACGTAGGTTGGTTTTCAAAAATACTAGTATTACGAATCGTCTTGCACTTCAAAGCCTGTTCCTTGATAGTACTATATCTGTGCGAGGCCTCATAGATAGGAGAGCTTGCCTTAGCACATGCCCTTCCAAAAATCTGCCTGTACGAGGTTCTGGCACAATAACACCATATCGGTTAACAAGAAAGTCTAGTGTTAGGCGACTAGACGATGGTATTGAAAGCACGCATATCTATAGTTAATCTGTTTATTATAGTGATATATGAATAAGGGGGTTTGGACTAAACATGCACCATGAAGCGTTTCAATAAGACCAGCGCTAAGTAGAAATGCAAAGGAGAATAAAGCCTGTAACTAGTTCCATGTCGGCGAATTAAGTATTACATAATGCTATAACGTTAGTATGGATAACCAGTTTACTAATCTGGGTATCAACCCATCAACCGTTGCTCGATTTCGTTTCTCCGTCCAATGCCACATAATGTCTTCTATTTTTATCGAGTAAGACAAGCATAGGCGTACTGGTCGTGATCCTTCAGATCGTCAAGCTCAGGTAAGCACCGTTGTACCGGTAATCAAGCTCCAAATCTCTACCTCATGATAAGATGATCCATCTCCTAAATCGTTCCTGCGCTCCGTGATTACACAACAAAGTGTCCCTAATTGCAAACTGCATCAGGTTCTTTGATTTGCTGGGGCGTGATCACAACAAAAGTACACTCATGGCCTTCGTCCAAGCATTGGTGTTAGCTCGGCTTTTCCTGCTGCAATTAGGTCCTATAGGTAGGAGAGACTTGCTTCCGAACATCTCTCGCCGCTGTATCCATCATCCTGTACTATACATTCACCAAAGCGCCATGCCTTTGAAATTCTCGTGCATTTCTGGAGTGTGTTAGTTGACTAGGTTTATATAAAAAATAAGATAAAGGCTAAACCTACACCCTATACAGTTGTATAAGAATAAGCGCTAGAAAGGCCAAAGAGAATAACGCTCGCAACTACCTGTAGTTTCACGTTTGAGAAAGTAACGATTGTAGACGTATTTGGTAGATGTTGTGATGAGGACAACAAATTTGGAAAAGGCCCAGGCTCTTGTTTATACGTGTACTCGGGGCAATATAGTTCCCTGGCAAGTCCATGCAAGTAGTACAGAATACAAGACTGCTCACGATGGAGGTCTGCCACCTCTGGATATGGTATCTGTCACGGACTCCAAATTACTACCGATTGCAGATTACCCCCGCGTCTAGATCACCACCACCTCTTTGGCGCAGGAAATTCAAGAGCTGTCTACTCCACGGCCTTTCCCAGGATATTTCAGATTATTGCAGTCATGCGAATTATACATAAACACATAGCAACAAAGACTGGGCACATCATGTTGCAAGCAAAAGGAGGTAGAGAAACGCATTGTAAGACGAGCGCGAATTTGGAAAAGTACACACTGATAGTGGTAAGAAGTGATGTGGGGACAGGAAATGCTGACATGCAGTCCATTGACGATTATGAGAAGAAGCGACATGAATACGAGGACGGGAAGCAATCTGAAGATGAAAGATGGAGGAAGTATTTGCTTGATGCTTGTAAGCTTGAATACTACGCAGTGAATGCGTACAATTGGCATATATGCTATCCTTACGATCTTGATCTACCGTTCATCTAGCTGATCAGCTACACCTTTGAGCTGTGAAAGACGAGGCGCGACTCACCTTGGGATTGGGAGAAGAGGGAGCGTATGTGTATTTGTATATCTTTGCCAGGAACGCGAGGAGTAGGTAGTCGCATTCGATGTCGCACACGTTTTCTTTTGAGTGTGCTAAGCCATGACAGATCACGGCAGATCACGGCAGATCATGGTAGATCCTGGTAGATCAAGGCAGCTACTTGCGACCTTTCCTCACGTGGCGGTGCTTTATCAGCAACAAGGCTGTCATCAATACGATCATGCGTACCACCTGCCCAGATTCACCCATGTTCAATCCTCGCCATCCTCGTCCTCTTTGTACCTTCGTGCTTCCCTCGCTCGCTCTGTCCTTTCATCATCTTCGAGTCCCCTCTTAACCAGGCTCTCGCGCATTCGCTCTTCCTGTTTCTTCCAATGACTACCTTCCTCGTAGTCTGCACTGATGCCCAGCGCCTTCCTTAGCCGCTCACTTTCTTCAGCCTTTGCCTTTGCCAAATCATGCACCTGATGGGACTTGAGCCTCTTCGCATTAGGTCCCATGTCTTTGCCTTGTTTGCGCTCTTGTTCGAGTTTCCGTCGAAGGGCCTCGCATTGGTCGTCGATCTCGTCTTCGTCGACACTGTTGCGGCATTAGGATGATGGGTTTACTGCTGCGAGTGCTACGAGTGCACATACCCTTGATCTTCTAGCTTGTCGCGCAGCTCAAACACCTTGACTTCAATTTCGCGCTTCGCCTCGTGCTCCAAAATCTCGGCATCTGGTTGTCGGGGTCGGTGTCTTGCAGAGTCGTTGTGATCCTTGGGATAGGGTGCGATCTTGTCACGTGGGCGAAGAAGAGAGCGGTTCTTCTGCACGTAACCTGACGTTCCGCTGCCTCGTGGGGTTGTGAGGCCGACGTTATCTGCCATGTTTGTGTGAATGTGTGAAGTAGTAGACAGTAGACGGTAGACGCGAAGACGGTAGACGTGAGGAATGCGGAGAGAGTTCGGGGGTGAGGGCCAAGCCAAGCTCCTTTGGGAAACCTAGAATTCAGGCCCCGCCAAAATATTCCCCGGACCAGACTTTGTCCCCATGACGCATTGGTCTACCGGTACCGACAAGACCATGGACCTCGCTGCCCTTCCACCCCATCGTTTGCTTTCACTGCACTATATCCCATCATGTCTGCGCCCTCGGCCACGGTGAATGCAGAAGATTCCAGCCATGATATCGATATCTATGCGCCTGCTGAGAGGGGCTTGAAAGAGCTGCCATTCCCCCCAGTCACCAAACAGCACATCTTGAACTGCTCCTACCACAGTTGGCATCCAAGATATCGTGCAGTCACCCCCAAAGCACGCCTCATACCCCTCCCACCCGCCTTTCTCGACTACCTCCGCTCAGATGGCATTGTCCTACCCCGCGAAGACGGCGACAACCCCACCTGGTCAGACAACGACAGTGGCATCTTCTCGGGCACAGACAATAACGAAGACGACGAGGAGCAGGACGCAGATCCCAGCATACATTGGCGCGAGACGCACGAGGCGATTGAAAACACAATTGCAGAACTGGGTGGAACTGTGGCGCCCAAGCTGAACTGGAGTGCACCAAAAGATGCCACCTGGATCGCTGCGACGAACAACATGGAGTGTCGAACACCAAACGACATCTATCTGCTGCTCAAGAGCAGTGACTTCATCACGCACGATCTGGGACATGCTTTCGACGACACGGTCGACCAGGCAACCGCACCAGATGTAGAGATACCCTATCATCTTGTCTTGCGCAAGTGGATCACACTCAATCCCAGTGTCGAGTTCAGATGCTTTGTACGCGATAGACGGCTCATTGCATTATGCCAAAGAGACCTAAACCACTTTGACTTTCTGTTCAAGATGGAGGACAAGCTGCGTGACAGGATCCAGGACTTCTTCGACTCCAAACTGCGCGACACCTTTCCCGACCCAAACTTCACTTTCGATGTGTACGTGCCGCCACCATACGACAGAGTATGGGTGATGGACTTCAATCCCTGGGCTGTGCGAACCGATCCTCTCCTCTTCTCGTGGATGGAGCTGCTTACAATGGAAGTGCCGGATGCGCCCGCAGAAGAGACGGTGATGCGCCTCAAGATGGCCCAACCTGGAGAAGTAGGCGCGCAGCAGTCAATAGGTACACTGGACAACTTGCAAGGCTCTGATGACTCGGAAGACAGTGATGCCGAAGAAATTTGGCAACCCGAGTTTCGAATGGTCAGGAGAGACGACCCAGAAGCATATGGGTTTTCAACGCCACAATACAGTGCGCACAAACTCCCGAGAGATGTAGTTGATGCGAGCAGGGGAGGCGAAGGCCAACTCAGGGAGTTTGCGCAGCAGTGGGAGCAAGCTAAGAGGACAGCTGAGCAACAAAGAGCAGAGGATAGCGATGATGATGAAGATTAGACTTGTTAGCTTCATGTATGCACATCATGTATGCAACGGTTGTGTCGAAGCTAGTAGCGAGAAAGCCTTAGCAAAGCAACAAACAATGTGCCAGGTGGGACCATGTTTGAAGTCTAAATGCTGGTGATAGTCGACTGCTTATTACTTCTGCCTCGTCGCGTGAAGCTCCCAGACGTGTGAAGACGTGACTACGGGAACCGTAGTCTGTCGAGTAAAGGTGACGCATCGACGGTATATTTGTTTCACCGCCAATATCCCTGCATCCATGATTCGACCAGGCGGCCCATCACCTAGTACTCCACCCCCGTGGACAGCGCAACAGATATCATCCTTTCTGCACTGCAATCCTCTGTCCTGTTTAAATTTTACGACTCATTGTCATCTGAATTTCGTCGGCAATAAATCACAGCAATCTACTCCAAGGTTGGGTTCCGGTTTGTTCGCAACTCGACTCAGTACACACATCAGACCATGCTACCGCCAGACGAGTGTCACAACCCTCAAAGCGGTCTCCTATTACTCCCCACCGAGATACGCTGCCACATCTACGGCTACCTTCTGGCTGATTCACAGGCAATCACCATTGGCGCAGCATACGTTACCATTTTCGGTCACCGCATCCAAGATCGTGCACGCAAAGACATCCCAGGTCTTCCTCTGGACCTCACGCCAGTCATCCGATGCAACCGCGACGACTCTCTGCTCTCATTCCAGCATCCACCCACGATTGCAATTGACGATGCCCCGCTGGAAAAGATCGATACTGGGCCGTTGGCCTACCCCGCCCCATTGGCATTACTACAAACCTGTCATCTCATCCACGACGAGTTGAATGACTACAAGAACATGAGGAGCACAAAAAAGCCGGCGCAGGCTCCGCTACCCACGAAATGGATACAGCTGAACAAACCCAACGAGGCCGAAGAGGGCTTGTCGCTATACCTCTCCTACCCTTACGGCCTTGTCGTGCTCAAAAGCATGTACCCGTTCCTGCTCAAGCAGGCAAGAAACGTACACATATCAGGATACTACACCGAACCACCCGCGCCTACACCACCCGCAGTCGACGATGAGACTATTGTCGACTACTTTGCCCCCTCACTTGACATTGCCAGATCCTTTGGCACACCGTACCCGTCGGTACAATTCCTACGCGAGGGCGCTCGCCCCACGTCCCCAGCGCTATCCACCACCGCTCCACGCACGCGACTCCGTCTCCGACTCCCAACAGCAGCCTCTAGATACAATTCGGCACCGTCTCCATTCATCTATCCCCCGTATCCATCCAGCACCGCCGACCACGCCCCGCATGCCCTCCGCTGCCTCTTCCGCACCCTCTTCTCCCCCGAAGCGACCCAGCCCGTCAAAGTCTCGGCCCGCATCCTGTATCCGGGCGAAAATACCTATCGACATGTCTTCTGTAGCGAGGACAGCCCCATTGTCAATATGCTGCCCAGTATTTGCAAAGGCGATATTGCCATGTTGGTGCTGCGCGCGGATGCGTGTACGGCGATATGCTTTGAGGCGAGTGCCAAGGCCGAGGGCAGGTGTGTGAGTACGAGTTGGGAGAATTGGAATGTTGGCAGGGGAAGGAGAAGAGAAAGAGAGAGGGCGATGGACGAGTTTCTAAGAGGAGTTTGAATGCTTCCGCGGAGGGGTCTTTCTCATGAGTGAAGCGCCATGATGATTTTATTCCCAGTGCGTCGTTCTCCATGGGAATCACCTCCTCTTTGCACAAAGGGGCCCCCGCCCTCACTTTCCCACATCAGAGTCCCAACAACACAATTGCGAGTCCCTCTCATACCCACTAGACCCAGTCGTCCATCTCCTATTCAAAATCCTTTCTCTTAAAAGCAATGCCTCAACCCCCATTCCAACATCCACGCTCCTCACAACTCCCACTCCTCGAAACATACGCAACGGCACATCGCTACCACCTACATGCCAAAGCCAAGCCGACCCCCCAAAGGCGACAACGACGATACCAAACCCCCAACACAATAAACATAGTGTCCGCAGAAAACAATCCCCTAACCCCCAATGCTCGCGAGAGCGAGAACGCAACCTAGCATCCTACGTTGCTGCCCCGTTTGCTGAAACACGGCGGGAGCGGTTGTGGTTGGCTGGTTTTTGTTCCGCGACGGCGTGGTGTGTCAGATCATGTTAGATCGCAGCAGATCGCAGCGCACCATCACGGTGTCATCCCTGCTCAGAGGAAATGCGGACATCGCAGCGAGCGGGGTGTGTTTGTCCCGGGGCTTGGCTGTCTTGCTTGTCGGGACTTGGCTTTGAGAGGGATGGTGTGTGTGGTAACTAGGGTAGTATGAGTGTGATTGTGAGTATGAATGTACTGGATAGTGTTGGGTTTGCGGGCTGCCTGTTAGTACGTCGTCTTGTGTGGTGTGTATACAGGAGCCGGATTTGACATGCAAGTATAAATGGTGGGTGTTTCCTACTCGTGCTTACAATACTGTACAGTGCAGTACAAACACATCTATCCTCTTCTGCCTATGCACCCCAAACACAAAACATAAATCACAAAACACAAATTATCATCCCCAACAAGTCTCACCAACCCTCGCACCCCCCTTCTTCCCGCCCCGGCATCCGTCCTCCCGAATGTTTCCGTTTCGCACGCCCTAGAGACTTGAAGATCAGAGACACAGCGTGTTCCCCTGGCGCCAAGGGTATGGGTTTCTTCGTGTGTGCATGATGGATGTGTTGGGTGAAAGGAGGGGTTTGGTTTGGTTTGGTTTGGTTTGGCGTCGTTGATGGAGTGCAGTGCGGTGCGGTTGGTGTTTTGGCTTCGAGGAGGTGGTGAGGCATGCTGCTGTTTCTTGATTCCAGATGCTGGGTGTGGTAGTTCTAGTGATGAGGGGTCTGGAGGACGTGTAGAGGGTATAAAGCGGTGGGAGTTGATGTGAGTTTTGAATATCATCCTCATCCTCATCATTTTCCAAGTTTTCTTTTCATTCACCAACTACCTAATTCAAGTAGTAGTAATCTCTTCTCCCTTTCTGCATCTCCTTCGTCTCTAGCCTGGCGCTTCTCTTGCTTCTCTTGCTTCTCATTTACGCCTCCAATCTGCCCCTCTGAACACCTAATCCTTTGATACCGAGTTGACCTCGTCCCCCTTTACCATCCCAGTTTCCAACATGTACTTCTCGCACGCCCTCGTCGTCGCCTTCGCGACCTCCATCTCCGCCCACGCCGTAGTCACCGAGATCCAGGGCGCAAACGGCGTCACCATGCCCGGGCTAACCATCCAAGATGGAACCCCACGCGATTGTTCTTCAAAGTACGTTTACTCGCAACCCAACCCAGTCCCCAAGACTGTGGCATTCAATCAGCCCACATCCCCAAATACTTGACTAACAACGCCAAAAGCGGCTGTGGCTCCCAAGCCGACACAGCCATCATCCGCGACCGCGACATTGCAAGCGGCAAGGCCACACCCCTCGGCCGCACCCAGGGCAACGGCCCCGTCGACGCCTCCGTCATGCTCGCCGCCTTCATGGGCAACGGGGCGGCACCGCCCGCCAACAGCGGCGCATCCGGTAGTGTCGGTGTCGAAGACAACATTCCCCAGAGTGCACGGGGCCAGGCCGGGCAGAAACGCCAGCTCCTAGCCGGTCTGCTGGGGGGCGGGCGTAATGGCGGGAAAAAGGGTGGTGCGGCGGCTGGGGCGACGGGGATCGCGGGACTGTTGGGTGGAGGTGGGGATAAGGTGGATGGGCCGCCTGAGGCGAGGGTTGCTGCTGCCATGGGGGCCGGGGCTTCGACGGGGCTGCCTACGTGTGCGGAGGATGGGACGGTGACTATGACGTTGAGACAGGTATGTGTGTTAGTTTGCGTGTCTTGCTTGCGATGCTTCATCTCCCCATATCCGCAGTGCACTACCTAACACCACCCACCACCCTACAGATCAACCAAGACGGCGCAGGTCCCTTCACCGCAGACGTAGACGGCACATCCGGCGGGACCGACGAATCCGTCATGCAATCCGCCACCGTGACAAAGGACGTCCCCGGCCTCGGTGTGCAAGGCATCTCGCTCGCCACAAACACCGAGTTTGAAATGACGGTGCAGATGCCGGCTGGCATGACGTGCGATGCGACTGTGGCTGGTACTCCCAATGTCTGCGTCATGCGCGTTCGCAACGGCGCTGCGGCGGGGCCGTTTGGTGGCTCTGTTGCGTTTACGCAGAATGCGGCGGCGCGCAAGCGTGCGGTTGCGTATAGGCTGAGGAAGCGGATGGAGTTGAGCCGGGGGAACTAGTTCGAGGGAGATTGGTGGGAGGTATTGGGGAGAGGGTGATGATGTTGGGCTTGGCTCTGACACATGCATGCATGACCTGGCGGGCTCAGTGTCGTGTCGATGGCGGGGGGAGCAAATAGTACATACAGTACGATAGTTTGGGGTAATAGAATGTAATCATTGATGTTATTACATCGAACATTTATTCTGAATCTTTCCACACGCACACAATCATATGAGCGTTACCTCAAAAGTTCCGCCATAACCTCTTTACCAGACCTTCCTTGGCCTGTGGTTGCCCATCCTCGTTGACCAAGACTCCACCGTGCGGTGCGAGCTCGTCCTTTTGGTCCAAGTCCTTTCTCCTTCCCGCATCGAGATCAATCTCATGGCTCTTCCAGAGGTGCGTCTTGAACCACCACTTGTATCCAAAGTAGATGATGCCAAACACGGGGAACAGAATATACGCATCAACAAACAGGCCGGCGTCAAACGGGCTCAGTGTCGTCCAGCCCTGAACGATGGCAAGGAAGATATTGGCCGAGACGCCAAAGTAGGCGTTCCAGGGGTACAAGAAGGATTTGAAGGGAAGATCGGCTGCGGTCCGGCCCTGCGCGTGCCACGCCTTGCGGAAGCGAATGTGCGTAAAGGAAATGGCACCCCAGACAAGGAAGGTGGAGACACCGCTGAGGTTGATGATGTAGGTATAAGCTTTGCCACCGCCGGTGCTGACATTCATCAGCGCAAGACATCCAAACAGGTTCGTGAAGACAATTGCGTAGACGGGCACTCCGCGGCTATTGGTCTTGCCCAGGAACTTGGGCGCCATCTTTTCTTGTGCCATGAAAAGTATGGTTCGCGATCCAATGTAGATGGAGCTGTTGGCGGCGGAAAGTACGGTGATGAAGATGAAGGCGTTGATGAGATGGACGCCGCCTTCCCAGCCCGCTCTCTGAATGGCAATCGTCATTGGACTTTTCAGCGCTCGACTGGCTCCGTTGGCGAGGTCATCGGCGTCAGAAGGGCAGGTAAGTCCGAAGAAGAAGGCGACTCCCATGTAGACAAACAGAATACGCCAGATGACCTGTCTGATAGCCAGCGGGACAGCCACGGAAGGATTTCTCGTCTCCGTTGCAGCGACTGCCACAGCCTCGACTCCCGCGTAAAAGGTCGACGCGAAGACGAAGACAACGGCGACACCACGAAAGCCATTCGACCAAGGTCCAGGGTCGTGCCAGTAACGGAATCCCAGGGCTTCCTTTTGTCCGATCAAGCCTCCTGACGCGTAAATGATGGCGAAGATGAAGTACGCGCACAGTCCCGCAAGCTTGGTCAGAGCCAGCCAGAATTCCGCCTCCCCAAACGACTCGATACCCAGCATCTGGAATCCCAAGAAGGCAAACCAGAAGATGATAAAGTACCCCCACAGAGGCACCTTGTCGCTCCAGAAGACGAGCAGCGAGGAAATGATGTTGTATTCATTCGCAAGCACGCAGGCCCAGACAAGCCAGTACTGCCAGCCCACGGCCACGCCAAAAGCCTTGTCGACAAAGCGATCGGAAAGTGTGACAAAGGCTCCTCCCGTAGGATACAACGTCGTCATTTCGCCCAGAGACTGCGTGATGCTGAACGCAATGATGCCAATGACACCAAAGCCGATGAGCAGGGCGGCGGGCCCACCGTTTGCAAGCGCACCACCTGTTCCCACGAGGATGCCCGGGCCAATGATTCCAGCAAGAGCCATCATGGACAGATGGCGCGTCTTGAGTCCACGCTTCACCCCGCTGGGATCCATGCGTGAAAAGTCCCCATCGTTGTTGTAGCTCGCGGCCGGCGAGGCATGCTCAAGCGGAGGAGTCTTTGACTCGTAAAGCGCCATGGTGGTTGGACTGGGTAGAAGCAGCCGTGAATGAAGCTACCGGAACCGTACTCTCGAGAAAGAAGAAGAAGAAGAAAAAAGAAAAATTCGAGCAAGACATGATTATATATCAAGACCTTGCCACCATTCTTTATCTTCTCGTCACAAACTTGGCGAGGAGATTGTGCTCGACACGGCACAGTAAGTAAAAGATCAACCGGCCAGAGCCATTTTTCTCTCCCTCACCGATTGGCGTCATTTTCCAAGCCGATTACGCGATAAGCAAGCACAACATGGGCGACAATGGCGTCTACCCAGCCTGCAAAAAAAGGCGGGGAGTGTTGTCTTCTGGGGGCCGTGTACAGGGTCATACGTACAAGGTAGGTATTGCGGAGAAGATTGCCTGGCCGAAGGCTGGGAGCCAAGAATCTCCAGATTCTTCGCTTTCGTTTTGTTTCGTCGGGTTTTTGCGTGTTGGCAGGCTGGGAGTCGTTCGAGCAAGCGAGACCGGGCTAGGCTGGAAGGAGGTTAGGGTGGGAAGGATAGGGCGCGCTACGGACCGGGTAGCTGCCGGCACCAGAGCCGCGCCGAACTAGGCCCGGCCCCGTGGGGTTTGTCACGAGATGGGATCTGGTCTGGACTCGGGAGGCTTCTCTACATGTATACATTGTATGCATCGGTAGCTATGCCTATACACTCACACACATACAATAGTCCATCCCGCCATCCGTCCTCTCTCTCTTGTGCTAAACACTTGGAGAAAAAAAAGTAACAAATCTTATCATCCTGCAACCGCACCACCCGCCAACGACCTCATCTCCACCACCCTTTCAAGACCCATTCATCCCCTACCCTCACGCCTCACCAAGTCAACAACCCCGCTTACCAAATCATCACCCCATGAAAACCACAGACCTCGGCACACTGCTAAACCCTGACACATAGCGAGTGAAATACAACAAGAACCCTTGTCAACCACCATGTACCATGTAGGTACCATTGGTAGTTGCATGCCTAACTGCCCTAGCCACTCCAGCATCTACATGTCCGCGCCGCAGAAACTGCAAATACCTACCATGCTGCCCCGAGATATCCACCGAGTATCGGGTGAAGGGAAGGCTGGGTTTGGATATCGACTACATGTACTGGTTGTCCATGTTGGTGGTCGCTTGGATGTCTGGCTACACAGCGCTGTATGTACAAGTGCAATAACAGCATAGCACGTTTTTGGCGCAAATTTTTTTTGACACTCCGGCATACCACGTACCCTTCATACTCCAACCTCCTTGGCCATGGAAATCCCATTTCGAACTAGTGACAAAAGAACGAACGGGGCACACTTGCATCTTACCCTCAATCACCCCAGCATCTCCTAGTCGCTGCGTCTCCCATTCCAAACCCATTCTCGGCACTGTTCTTCCCCTCTAGAATCCCAAAGAAACTTATCATTTCTATCCATGTGAAAGATCCCTATTCACCCATCCTCTGTTCCCTTCCCCCCTTCCACGCTCAATACACTCACCCACCATCCAGCACCCAGCACCCCCATCCCATCTTAGAGCGGCTTGTGAAGAACAACAGTACGCATTGACATCGACATTGACTTTCACACTAGCAAACATGTGGTACTCACTCTCTTATACACAACACACCCTTACCCTACCCTACCCTACCCTACCGCAATCCGAGAAACTACAATAACAGCGCCACTCACGCCTCCCCATCCATCTTAACCCCCATCACGCTCATCCAACTATAGCCATCTCTCAAGCTACAGTAAGCTCACGTACCCGCCTCCCCCCACCCACCCCTCCTCAACACCCCCTCCCCACCACCAAACCTCTGCCCACCCCCGACATTCGCCCCCGCACCCGCACCCGCGCCCACACCGGCCCCCGACGTCCCCGCCGCCGCGCCCCCCCTACCCGAAGAAGAAGAAAACCCAGCACTAGAATTCCAGACGCCCTCGCCGAGCAACTTTGCAAACTGCTCGATGCTCGTCTTTGCCCTCTCCTTGATATCCAAATCCACGTCGCGGCCCAGCATCCGGGCCGCCTCTTCAAAGCCGAGCTGGCGCAGCAGGGCGGCGCGCTCACGCGTCGCCGCCTCGTCCGTGTGGTCCTCGACCCAGACAAGGTTGAGCAGCATCCAGGCGCATGCGACACGCACGTCGCGGCGCGGGTGGGTGAAGATGGGGAGCACGTGTTGCATGAGCGAGGTCTGGGAGATGAGAAGGGAGCGGTGTGCGGGGCGGCCGTTGGCGAGGTGGACGAGGATGAAGATGGTGGCGAGGATGAGTTCGGTGGCTGGGTAGGCGGCCCAGTTGGGTGAGTTGAGGGCGTTGGTGGAGGCGGAGAAGGAGGAGGATGGGCGGTGAGAGGCCGTGGACCAGTGATTGGGGGTGCTGGGTGCGGTTTGGGTATAAGGGGTTGTTGTGGCGAGGGACGAGTTCTTGGGTCGGATTTTGGCGTCGAGGAGGTCGAAGAAGCGACTGTGGCCAAAGGTCTTGAGGAGGTGGTCAATCATTTCGCCAGAAGCTTTGTCTTCGGAAATGAAGTTGCGGATGAAGTCTAAGGCTTGCTCCTGGATGCGAATATCGTCGCGTTCACTGTTGAGTCGACCATCTTGCTCGTCGTTTTTAATCTGTTGCAATCGGTCCCGAATGTTGGTCTGACTCGTATATCGTGATCCACGAGGTTGGTGTTGGCGCAGAGTTGGTATATTCTCCGTCATGGCTTCTTCATCCTCGTCTTCTTCGGACGATGGCTCGTCGTCCACATCCATGCGAGGCTCATCAACCGCATTGAGGAGGTCAACTTGCTCTCCTGCTGCATTTGGCGTTCCCATAGTAGGCTTGCTTGGCTCACCATTGAGCACTTGTACTAGCCAGCCAACACCGAGCTCTTCCAAGCACTGCACCTTCATCGCGTGCGGCAGGCCAAGACACAAATGTTTCAATGCCCAGAGACTGCCAAAGCGAAGATCAAAGTTGGCCGATCGACATTGCTCACAAAGAGTCTTGAGAACACCAGACTCGATTATCTCCTGTTATACCCATATTAGCTTTAAGATTGATTAAAAATTACATTGCTTGACTCACAGTGCGCATAGGCGACACATCCAGTACCAGATTCGTAATGACCTCAGTAGCCGCAATCTGAACCTTGACACTGGGATGCGACAGCAGCTCAAAGATAGGCTGTGCTACGCCATGATCAATCAAGCTCGTCCTAAGCACATTGACTGATCTCGACAACGAGCGGGTAACTTTACAAGCAGCAATGAGCACAGCATCGGGGTTTCCCTCTTTCGTCGACGACGCTGCGCCTTCAGTGCTCTCACTGTACGGTACGAGAGCCTCAATAATGTGCGTCGCAGCTCCCATTTCAATGACAAGCTTCTTCAGCGAGTCCTGGTCGCCAGCTATGGCTGCCAGCGCTAGGAGAGAACTCTCTCTGTACTTGTATGCATGTAGCAAATCTGCACTGAGACCAGGTCTGCCGAGAGTGGACGATGCTGGGTCGACTGAAGGATCTCTGACCTCGTGCGAAGATGACCTTGGTTGCCAGAGAGGCTTAGAGGACGCGGTAGGAACATCAAACGATTTCTTGAGAATTTGAATGAGCGTCGGCAAGGTGCGCGCAGAGACGGCTACATTCTGCAGTGATTTATTTCCCGCAATGAGCTCAGCGAGTACAAGTGGTGCGCGTTCCAGCACAAAGCGCATCTCCTCTCGGGCTGCTGGACTCGAGGCATTGGCTTTCTTCGCTTGCTCCGACGTTGGATTCGACTCTTCAATCATCTTCTCCACGAGTGGAATAATCAGGTATGAAAAGTGACGTTCCCGCGTCGTCTTGGACGGATCATTCAATGGCCACCGGTCACCAAACTTCTTCAACAACGCCAACAACCAGCATGCAGACAGACGTTCCCGGCCTTCGCCTCGTCGCGCCACATACATGAGCCATATGAACAGCGGAGACTCGGATTCGTCCGTGATCACACTCCGACTCGAATTTTGCTGCAGACTCTCAATGCTCGGTAAGCGAGCGTAGCTATCGCCCGTCGCAGAAGGGTATGCGCCAAGGGCCGGCCATGATTTGGTGTAGGGGTCCGATTTACTCGTCATAGTTTGTACTCGCGGGATCAGCTTATCCCAAGACGCAGCTTGTGATTGGGTTGTAGAGCCTTCGTGTGTTGCTGTGGATCGCTCCTTGGGCCAACCAAAGACTTGTTGTATCGCTTGCGAATAGATGAATCGCGCAGTGTAATAGTATGAGTCCCTGATGATGGCTGATATAGCTTCCAGGAGATCTGGCAGGCATGAACGAGGAAGCTGGTCACGTATCGATTGCCTCGTCTCTGTGTTTGCAGGGACACGATCATCCGCTACTGCAACAGCGGCCAGCTTATCCGCCAACAGGTCAAGGATGCCAGCTTCGACGAGCATCTTCTTCTGATAATCCTCCCGGCATGTCCTCATAATCAGTCGGACTGCTGACTCAATCTGCTGATTGACCCTCGTCGTCCCGGCGGGCTGAAAGAGCACCTCCGCTAGACTCTCAACGGCCGCCTTCGTGTATATAGACTCGTTGACAGCGGAGGCGAGCGATGCCCTCGAAGAGGTGTCCGACATGTCGACCCAAGGCTTTTCCTGCGCAACCGCGTTGACGATCTGATTGAGGCTATTGAGGGTCGTGGTGACGAGCTTGGGCGGGGTCTCGCTGGGCCGTAGTGCTTCGAGAAGAGGGGGAAGGATATTGCCTTCAAGCAATGGGGCAATAAACGCTGGTCCACCTATATTTCATGCATGAGCAAATCGTCACCAGGGTAACCCTTCACAACGTCATTCACTCACCGTTCGCCAGGCTGCCAACAACGAGCGTCGCCTGAAATCGCAATTCGTCTTCAACAGTCCAGTCCGATGGAGTCCTTCTCGTCTCCCTGAAATTGCTTGAGCCGTGTCCATTCGTGCCATTTCTCCTCCTCTTCCCACCTTTTCTCGCCTCGGAGCGCAGCAGTCCCGCCAGCGGTGTCACAACGCCATGTGTGATTGCCAGCTCTTTGCGCTGCTCGTGTCCGACAATCTCGTTTTTGAGGTTTTGCAGAGCCGAGACTTGCGCTTCAGTTGTGCTGGGATTCGAGAGCTCGGCGAGCGCAGCAGGAATCGAGGATCGGCCCATGGCGTAACGGACAACGAATGGAGAGTGAGGCGTAGGTGCTACCACCGAAAAACGAGGTGGCGGACGCGGTGTGCACCAGAGAGGGGCTCTCAGGTGTACAGATGCGCTGTTGGGGACAATGGTACGCGTACCGGTAATGGCCGGTGGGTGTACGGCAGGCAGCTCTCGGTGCTCGTGCTCCAAGAGTGAAATGTTGCGGGGAGATCTCCGCAGCCAGAGTCGACGTCTATTGACTGTGAGGCATCTGTGCACTGAGTCGTGAATGCCCAGAAATCAATCCAGGGAAGCTCGAGGAGGGGCTGTGTGTTTCTATGTACGTGTCCGCGCAGGGATGCTGCTGTCCACTTTTGAAGGGAGTCTTGCCCGGCCGATGAACGTTGCGCGGGACAACATGCATCCATGCGCCGTTCCATCTTCTGACGTCTGGGGCTGCGCTTTCTCTTATCAGCACGTGACTCCTTGCAACTACATACTTCACCTACGTGCCCAGCCAAAAGCTAGGGAAGCCAACAAGCCATCTTCGCAATCATCCAAGTCAAACATACTCGTATTCATAACACATAGATACATACTCATAACATAATCATGACTTTCAACCGTAATCATAACCCGGACAACATAAACCATAGCCATGAACCATCAACCCGTCCAACACCCGCCCAGTATAACAGTACACAGTCATAACCTCCCATGCAACTCCAACCCATCCTGCTCGTCATAACCCCACTGCTAAAATGCAATAATCCAAGTCGTAAATGCCCCAACCCCCAGTCTCCTATCCCCTAGCAAGAAGCAAACAAAGACAAAGCAAGAAAAACGGCAAAAGCTCGTCTAATGGTCTGCCACGCCGTTATTGCCATGCCGAAAAAGAAAGTGTGTAAATGCCCAAACAGCAAAGACCATATGGCTGGCTCGAAAGCGCACAAGCTCGTTTCAAAGGGTACGTTTCAAAAGTATCCCAGAAATTCCGTATCATTCTCTTTCTCAATTCCACCTTCGGTCAATATGACCACAGACACACATGCCGCGTATGCCTCGCGGATGGCACATGCCATACACGTCTCCTTGATGTTTGCTATCACTGCACTGTGGCCATGATGGGCACACCACGCTCGCGCAAAGACTTCGTTATCGCTAACGCCGAGAGCTTCAATGGCTAGCACTTTGGTGACTTGCTCGTGGGCTGTTTTGATGGGACCTATCGTAAGTGCCTTCTTTCCCGGAGACGATTTGGACGAGTTGGGGCGGGAAGTGCGGCCAGACTGAAGGTCCCAGTCTTTGATGTCGACCAGGCCATCGTCAATCTTGATGGCAGTGTAAGCAAAGTCGTAAAAAAGGACTGCACGGCTGTTAGTCTAGACTCTACAATTCAGCAAATGTCATGGCAGCTCACCATGTGGGCCCTGATGGCACGGGAAGGCGTTAATGAAGTCGACATCATATCGCAGCTTCATCGGCCAACTCGTACCACCACATGCAAAGTAAATGGCAGCGTCGAACAACAGCGGCGCGCCAGGCAATTGCCGCGTAGAGGAAGGTTGATCCTTGGCTGGTGCAAAGCTCAGCTTCTCGATCCGGATCAAATCGGTAACATCTTCCAAGTCTGGCATGGGAACCTCATAGTCATCTATCGGGTAGCTCGTCTCAATCGAGCCCAGAGGATTGGTCCGCTCACCCATAGATTCTACGTCGATGGCAGCAAGCCGTGGGTCAGACGATTCTCGTTGCTTGACCCTTACACATTCTGTGCGCTTAAGATCGGGAGTGTATATGCATGGGCCTATCCAGCCAGCGATTTGCTTGACACCCCGTGCTGCTCCCAGTACCTTGCCAACAATGCATTGCGAGGACCAATAGGTATTGGCGCGGTACTGGAAGCCAGATGCGGGTTGCATGTGTGTAAGAAATTTCAGAGCGTCTCCTGTGTTACGATCGCAGTCAATCAAACTGTTCATGATGAGCCACGGCAGTGTCTTGCCCGGCAGTATGATGCCCGAAAACCAGGACATGGCGTCTGCGGAGCGATCCTCAACCGCCTTCTCGTCCGCATCTTGCTCGTCAAGAATATACTCCACCTCATCAATGTTGGGCCACTTGAGTGTTTCTGCAAAGTATCTTAAAGCTTCCTTTTGTCTCTTCTTACTCTTGAGTTCGAAACTAAAGGTGCTTGAGGTAGAGGATACACGTTCCTTGGTAATCTCCATATTCTCAAGCCAACGCTGCGCAACGGCTAGGTCCCATGTGATGATGGGCGGTAGTTGTTTGATGAGCTTTCGCTTTGCCTTGTCTGTGTGCTTTTTGGAATGTATCCGAAGATAGAGTTCCACGGAAAGAAGCAACTGATGAAAGAACTCTTGCTTCTTGTGCTGATCTGCAGCATCGAAGAATTTCGCAATTACCTGGTTCTTGGGCAGAGAGAAATCCTTCCACTGCGGACTGCTCAACACTGCGATCAAGTCTGCGATTTGCTGGTCAATCTCGATGTGTCGATTGTCACCAAATCGATCGGGGTCTTCAATCAGAGTACTGTAGAGGTACCTGTACATTTCTTCGGGATCCTAGCGGCCATCGTTAGGACATTGTGAACCGAATTATTTTGCCTCCTCTGACGGGGGACGGGGGACTAACATCTTCCTGGAGCCCACTCTCAAGCTGCTGCAACCGGTCAAGGATTTGCAGAAACTTGATCTTGCGTGGTTTTGTTTCGCCGGCAAACTTGGTGGGCGGAACGCTGTGGCTAGACTTGCTGACCGAGTAATTCAGCGTAGTCGTTCCAGCACTCTTTCCAAAGGCGTACGCCATGCAAGGCTGCTCTTGTGACAGCCATGGGAATTGACTGTCTGATGCACCCGTCATGTTGAGTGACATGTCCCTATAGGCTGGCTGCTGGAACGGTGAGCGGTCCGTCCGGCTTTGATGCTCCGACTCCATGACGGCATAGTAGCGCTCGTACCCTTCTGGTGCATTGTGTATGATGTCCAAGTAGCCCTTGAAGGTGGATGCGCCGGCACAGATCAAATCCTCGGCCTCTTCCGGCGTCAGCGCATCGTCTTGTCGGTAGCCAGCTGGCGGCCATCGTCTCGACTTGCGAAACTCTTCGAGGGGTGTTGGTTGCGAGTAGGACTCGGAGCGTCTTGCCGGGGCAAGCGATCGTGGGATCATCATGTGGGTTTCGCCGCCGCTCGAGGAGGGACGTGTGGTGGTGGGTTGGGAGCCATGTCTGACGATGCGCGAACGCGAGACTACGGGGTTGGTTCGCGACTTGGACACCTTGCCGACCTGGAGCTGGTTGAAGCCGGCGGCAAGCTGGCCACAGGGCTCGGGAAAGGCATGGGGCACCGCGCAAGGCGCTGGAGGGGCTTCAGGAAAGGGCACAGCCCATTGTGCCGCATGGTACTTGTGGGTAGTAGGTTCCCAGTGGACGTATTCAGAGGTCATCTCGTGTGCATAGCAGTCTTGGTTGCATAATGCGGTGAGCATTATTCAGACGTTGC